AAAAAAACCCACGAAAATAAAAGTGTGTTTTATATTATTTTGTTGATTAACTCAAATACCATATACATAGTTATTTTATTTTGTGATAAAACAGTACATAATATTCAAACCACGGATATAGATACTAGTATCTATATCCGTGATTCAAACTATAAATATAATAATTAACAAATGTCATAAGTGATGATATCATCACAACATTACAGATAATAAAACATAATCATAATAATAATCGCAATAGTCGCAAAAATTATAGTATACATAAAGTTAATCGTGCTTTATTCGTGTGTTATATGAAATAGCTTCTAAAAAATTGTCAATTGTCCTTTTTCCTTCATTGTAATCCACGCAGTGCCTTCGCTGGTTGGTTCTTCCCTCAAGATACTTAATATATATAATAATTTTAAAAAAACATCATTTATGCTTATTGTACTTTTTTTTCTATTTACAGATTGTATAAACTAGATTAAATAAAAAAATATATAATAATTATATTAAATATAGATGTATTAACATTTATTTTTAATTTAAATTTTTTTGGAGGGCTTTTTTTCTGTGGGTTTTTTTTCCATGGGCTTTTTTTCCTTGGTGATTTCTTTTCTATGGGTTTTTTTTCCATGGGCTTTTTTTCGGTGGGTTTTTTTCCGTGGGCATTTTTTCCGCGATTCGGAAAAGACAGATTTTTAAAAATACGCTATGGCGGTTCGGAACTATAAGAATTACTTCTTAAATTCATTCTGACTTAAATATTGACATTTTGTATTCATTTGCGTATACGAAATTACCAAACCCTACAACCCTTAGACCTGTGGTTCTTGACCTTTTTCGAATGACGGAACGCTTAACATTTTATAAGGTTTTCGCGGAACACAGCCGTAAAATAAAATAATAATATGTACATTTTTAAATTTTTTAATATATTAATTATTAACCTAAAATGATTCATACACTAAACAGTATATTGTTATACACGTTTTATACTTTGCTAGTGAAAAATTACCATCTAAATACCAAGTACTGGATTTTGATAAATTGTTCATACCTTCTACAGTGCCGAAAATCAAAATCCTTTGTCCAGAATCAACGCCATTGTCAAAAATTAAAAGATTTTCATACTCAGGATAACCTGTAGTGCACCACTCATCTGTTGAACATGAATTTTAAATACAATAGTAATATTAATAAATATTAATTATTAATTTAATTTAGGTACATCAATGATCAAATTGTCAAGACTAGTTGGTTCAATTGGATTTAATTTTGAACGTTGATTTCTCAAAGTTCTTTTCACATGATCTTCCACTGGCATTTTTGATCTTATGTTACCGTCCAACTTAGCAACTCCTTCTGCAAATACTTCTAGTGGCTTAGATAGGCCACTTTTTGATTGTTCTTTCATAATGCATAGTGCTTTTTCCACATCTACCTTTTCACTATCTCCAAAGTCGTTATGATCGGACTTCAATACAGGGTCTTCTTTTTGAATGTTAGTATATAATTCTCCCATACATTTAAAGGAGGACCTTTTTGAACACCTCCATGTTATTTTGGATTTACCAAAATGCTTTAAAACATACANGAACTATTTTAAGATCTAAAAAATAAGTCGTGTACGAATATAAATCAACCAGTGTTTGTCAATAACTCAAAAAATTAAGTAAAAAATAAAATTTTTTTTTTAATTTAGCAGACGGCAGATGGCAGTACATCATATTATTAACAAAATAGTTTATATACGGGTACTTGAGATAGGGATTGTCGAATGCCGATTAGCGATGGCAATGATATGTCGACAGACTTAACGTTGTACAATGTACAAAAACAAATATATATTATAGTATTATAATACGGGTCCTTACTCCTTAGCCGACAATATCAGTCGGCAGTATTTAGATTTCTAAATCGGTAAATTCTCAACTGCCGACTGCCGGGACCCGTTCCTATATTAAATATATATATTTTTTTTTTTTTTAAAGTATAATTTCCACCGGACAACGGCTCCCTGAAATTGCCGACTGATAATTACAAAAAAATTTAACAGGGGGGGTGTGACGACCCACTATACCCCCATTGCCGCCGGCCCTGTAGGTATGTGTTGTCTCCATCTTACAAACTATTATAACATGGTACATTTTACGTTAACGATAATCAATTTTCATCTTTTAGAGTAAACCGAGTAACTGACCCATCACCCATAATACAATTTAAGGACGTCTCAGAGGATTTTATTGATATCAACTTAAAATGTACAACAAACATTTTAGAAAGTATAGACGTACAGACTAAAATATATATTATTATTGTGATCGTAAAATTTGTCGTGCCTATTGAAAATGTACGTTTATAGGACGGAGACATCACATGCGGTCGAGTCCTCTAAAGAATTAAAATTGTAAATGATTCAAACTCTAGTCACCCCTGAAATACACAAACATTATAATATTATATAGCTCCTAATTAAAAATAATATACTTCTAATCTCTTTATATCATTTAAGATTTAACTACACCATACGTCGTGTCTGGTGGACCCAAATGAGTAGTTATGACTGCGTACGAGACTTCACTCAGCCGATAAAGGTGGTAAGAAAATATTAATTTTTAAATTATTATTGGATTGATCGAGAATATAACGAAAATATCGCGGTTACCCGTTACTCCCGACCCCGTCCTACAATATGGACAGCGGTTGGTAGTCTATTTAGTGTGGTAGGTAACCGGCGGACCGTGGTATAACATTTATATATAGTATATCCTTAGGAGCGGCTAAATTATTAAAAACCTAATTATTTTTAATCATAAGTTAGTTATATGTTATAATATTATAACGACAATCGTTTATCTAATATTATAAAATATTGTAATGACATTTCGTTACCTGTGCATTTGTGCCCTTGATATCTGAATGATTGGTCGGGCATCAGTTTATAAAACACTCCGGTCTCGCTGGCGCTATAGATTTCTTTATCCGAGTATCCTTTGCGCAGTGAGGGCCATTCGTTCTCGAGCCAACGGTCGATGGCTCCTCGTGGTGTACCGTCCAATGGTAAAGTTTGGGAGACTTCCGGTGGAGTTCCTCGAGGTCGTACCACTACCTGGGTTTTCCCGCGGTCGTCGTTGTTGTTTACGTTCACAAACTCACTATGGTGACGGCGCTTGAAACGTTGCACCCACGAACTTGAACACTTGAAATTGGGTTTACCTGGAGGGCCGCAGAAGGAAAAATCAAAAAATAATTGGAGCATTATATCCATGACAAAATGTTGTCATGACTAAATATTAATCCGACTCGGACGCCCTTACGGTCATACGTGTATTAATATTAAAATATGATGTACTTGCCCAATAAGTTTCCAAACTCGTCAGCTTTGGCCTGCAGCGACGGTATATTAACCGACACGTTCGTTCCTCGATGACGTTTCAACCATTCCAGCAAGGCGTTTTCGATGTCTCGGTTCATGGAATACCGAATTTTTTTCGTCGCAAATGACGCCTGTTCGAATGTCCTTTTTATTTCAGCACGCTGTTTGAAAATGTTCGACACCGTTGAGTGCGACAGGTTGTATTGTTGTGAAATAAACGTGTTACTACATCCCGATTCCAAACTTGAAATTATGTTACATTTCTGCTCTATCGTTAAACTTTTTCTCTTTTTTACGGTCGACATAATTATATATTGAGTATTATTTGTGCGTGCCTAATGAATTGGACAACTTTGCCTTTTGCCTATACATAACGGAAGTAATAATGTGGTATCTACAATTCACAATATATATTATTCACAATTGACATTGCTGCATTCGACAAAATTACTTAATAGTTATTTATTTTATTTTACCTACCATCTTATCATCCCTACGGTTCCTATAAGTGCAGTGCAACCACCTTACGGTTTCTATAACCGATATGAATAGCCACTACAAACCGATACTATATAGAACGTATTACGTATTGCCTGTTAGACTGTTAGTTATTAGAATTTATGTATTGTGATTTGTCACTATAATCGATACCAAGTATAAACTGGAATTGGCTTCAGTATCTTACGTTATTAATATAACTACAAATACTTTGCTAGCCATGCTAAACATTACAAAAATAATCAACAGTTATTTCGAATGTTAATACGTTTAGAGTACTTGCAGATAGTTTTTTTCACAAGACATGTTTAGGTACCTATGTACTGATACCCATGTACTGACTTTACGCCTTTATTAGTACTCACTGTACATATCACATCCTATATATAAATATATTGTTATACATTTTAACATTTTAACAATAATTATATTTTTTATGCTATTAATTATTCGTTCTCAAGTATGTCGGTGAAACAAACACCTAAGAGGTAACACTTATAGCAACTACATGTTACAGAAATTTAATACATAGAATATAATATATAGGAATGATTTTTTTAAAAGCGTTTCATATTAAAATTTGACGAAATTGGATGTTTAAAGAAACATGTAGAATTTTGCTACCACTTACCTATTTGGTTGTTATATTCAAAAAATATCAATCGTAAAATATAGAAGTAGGTACTTATACATGGATTTTGCCCACAGGTTTCATTTTACATTTGAACGTGTTTGACGGCAAAGTAAGTCAACGCTTTTAATCGCTTATTAAATGTAAGATTCAGGTACTACTACATTGGCGTCGTGTCCCGTTTTGACAAACTGTTTGCTTAGATTAAAAATAATATTTACCAATATTTAAAAATCACCTCGTAACATAACAAGTGTAATACAAATTTGCTAGAGTCAACATGTTCATAGCACTAAATATTTGTTGTACCTAACTTTAATTATTCTGTTACCGAAACTTATCCTTGTAGTGTGGAACACAACTTATCCGAGGAACATCTCGGAGTAATTAAAATTATATTATAATGAATATATACCTACTAAATCTTTGTTGGAGGTACTTGTACTTACTCTACACATGTATGATGGTTGCTGAAGGCCACGTGTTCTTTGTTGGTTTTCGTCACCAATTGGTGATTCGGATATTGGTGTTTGACCAATATTTTGTTAAGGTACCTACCTACCTACACAATTGTCTTCATTAACCCATTACCAATATTTGAAAACCACTACGTAACATTTTTATAATTAAGTTTATGGCAAATTAGCTCGTTCATCCTTTAGTAATTAGTAATTACCTATACGTATCTTATTTTTATTATTCTGGAAAAACGTGTCGGGCGTTTCAATCTATTTGCTTACGACTAATAATGTTTTCTCCTTGGTATTTCACAAACAAAAATCTTCCTAAAGTCCTAAAAATGACTACCCTTAATCAATTAGCCAAATAATATTATTTTAAATTTCATACTAACTTAAGCTCTTAAAATAACCCATCACACAATTAAACAACTATCCAGCTCCATCTTGCTTATTGCAGGTAATGTGCTTAGAACTTTAGAAGACTCAAATTAAAACATTCACACTTTTTAAGGCCGGGTGGCGGGTCCTACAAAATGATTGCGAACTATTTTTTTTTTATAAAGTAACTAACCTAAGCAGTCAATTCGAGTTGTCATAGTGTCAACTTATAATATATAATTTCTGATAGTGTTATAAAGAATCTAATAAAACTGTATACAAGCCTTTAGTGACAATTCTAGAAACTTGGGGGTCTGAAAATAAAACCAAACAAACTGTCCACTTAATGTTTTTTTCAAATTCTAATTTAAAAGATATTTTATTTTATTTATTGTTTTTAGGGAGGTACAATGTGCAATTACAATTTCAGCAACTTTTGGTCCTTAAATTAAAAGAAGCTTAACTGTTATATAAAAATTAAGATCTTCCAACCAAAAATCTAACACAAACACAATAGTACAATACAAATATAACTATATATCTACGATATCATATAATGTTATATACAGTGACAATAAAATAGCCGACTATTTGATTTAATTAAAATTCTTTAAGTTAAGTAAATACTAGTAATACTGATAAGTGAGTCGCGATCGCATATAAGATTACACGAATAATATTACAATTTTAATCTAAAATATCAACATCATTGTTATTTGTTAAACACATAATTGTTCAGATAATGTTCTCATTAAAAAGAAAAATTAAATTTTTTGTTTATTTTTTCCTAGATAATTTTTAGGCCCTCAAAGTGGAACTCACCGGTGAAATTCCTTCTCTTAAAACCGGCTCTGGTGTCTGCCCATAACTACTAACTTCCTGTCATTTACAAATTACAATATTAACTACCAAATTTAAGTCTTATTATAGAGGCACTTGCACCTGTATAGATTATAAATCGTTTAAATGTATAAATATATATATATAATAATATATGTATGTAATATTAATACAAATATATTTTATGTGGTACCCAATTAGGTAGGTACTAGGTACCTACCTACTAATTTTTGTAATTTTCATCGGTTAAAATTTATTAGGTAATTTATTTGTTTATTAATTTACATTTATAATATATTTTAGAAATATTTACCGTATCAAAAAAATAAAATAAAATTTAACTGTGTATGGTAAAGTATAATAAAGCAAAGCTCTTGGTTTAGTATTATTATAAAGTAACACAAATTAAATGATTTCTTATATACAATTAAAGTATTTATATAATTATACAAATAAAGATCGAAAAATGCCGCTTTCTAGTGGTATTGCATACATCATATTATAAGAAATATTTGTATCTATATTATTGATGTCTACGAATTGGGTTAACTCTTACTCTAACTGAAAATATTAGTTTGTGCATTAATTAACCCAGTAAATAATTATAATTTTTTAGTTGTCTGTATGTTTGATGGCTATTTGCAGGGTACGCATTAAAAAAATTGCACAAAGCCTCGCAAATCATAGCGACAGCTATCTATCACAATACTATACTAAACATTATGACAAATGGTGCTCATTATACACTCATACAGATGAATCTTTATTAGGAAATGTGGGAAGTCACATAGCAGGCAGCAGCACCACCCGAGAATAATAATACTCTATATCTAAGTGTACTGCATTACCTACTGATGCAGTTCAATCATTGATTAATTATAACATTGTTGTACAGAGTAATATTATTCTTTGTCAGGACGACAATAGGTATTAGGTAGTGACACTTGACAGGCTATAATTTAATGTCCAAATCATTTGGACCAAATGTCTCAATTATGACGTTATGTAAAACTTTTACAATGTCATAACTTGAATTACAACAAAACGACCCAAATCCGTTTATGAATCAGACAAGATACTTAAGAAAAAAAGACCACATGCTACATAATAATATTGTAAGACCCATAATATTTAATTCTTAGGCTAGCTGTGGGTTAGGGTGGATCGAAAAAATGAATCTTAAATATAAACTTTTTAATAGTTGGGAAAATATATTGTGTTTTGGTCCCTATACGCTATATATAAATTTTAATAAATTTTATACATTTATTTGAGTATAAACCACAACTTTTAAGTACTATTTGAATTTGCAAAAATAAAATATTTTTTTTACATTAATTCGATCCACCCTAAGGTATCTTTTGAGGGAATTTATTATCTGTGAACTGGTCATTCTTGATATTGATTATGTTATCAACGATCACTTGAACTGTAATTTGTGTTTGTAAAACATAATATTGCTTATTTACATGTGAAAATGTCAAATTGAGTTGAATTTTCAAAATTGTTGTCCATAATTATTACTTCTAATATTGAGTTTTGTTTTTTTAAAGTGTTGTTATAAATGGCTATGCAGTTTAGGAAGCCTAAACGAAACCTACGTGTCAGAGACTCTGACGGTCTCCAAGACAATGAAAATGAAGAAAAAATGGATGTTGATACAGTACTGAAAATGCCAAAACCACAAAAAGAAAAGACATTAAAGAAAGTTAACACTTTGAGTTTTGGAGATGAGTTAAATGAATGTGAGTATTTTTTAAATTAACCATTAAATATTGTTATTGATCATGGAGTAATAACTGTATTTCTTAAGGTGATGATGGCGAAGAATTCAAAGTTAAAAAATCATCATATAGTAAAAAAATTAAAAAACAAATGAATAAAGAAAAAATGGGTCGAGATAAAGTAGAAAATGGCAAAAAATCAAAAGTTATTCCTGATACAATGAAACCTATTGTCGGTGAAAAACAAACAAACTTTAATGTAATTCATTATTAAATTATGTCAATTACATAATTTTGTTTTATATTTTATTGTTTAATATGTTTAGTCTAAACCTGTTGAAAAGGAAATAATGCTTACAGGCCGAGCTGCTGAAATGGCCGGCTATGTATCATCAGATGAAGAACCTGATTCATACAGTTCTTCATCTCATCGATTTTCTAATCCTGACCAAGTTAAAATAATATTAAAAAGTAAGAATAAGCTTATATAATAAGAACTAATTATGTGGGCTATTAACATTTTTAAGCACAAATTTAAAAAATGTTAGATACAATCAAATAAAATAAGATAAAAGATAAACTATGGTAATTCGTTGTGTGGAGTATTTATCGTTTAAAATATGAAAGCAACGTAACTATTCAATAAAAAAACTTCTGAATTTGGGTTTAAATTTTAAAACTGCATTTATTGAGATATTTTCAATATTTTTTGCAGGTTGTCTTTAGTTTTTTCTTATGCTTAGAGAAACTACTAAGAAAATTAAAAATTACCTCTTCATAATATTGTTTAAACAAATTTGCAAATAGATTGTATTGGAATCATAAAAAACGAGGACTTATCAGACCAAATATATTTAGAAGAAGGCAGAAATTTAGTTTAAAATTATATGTATCTGAAAAAAGTAATGTAATAATTTTACTTTCAGAGGGACAAATTCCTGATGCAGCATTAATTCATGCCGCTCGAAAACGGAGACAACAAGCACGTGATTTGGGAGAAGATTTTATACCAATATCCTCACAATCTCATAAGTATTTTCATATCATTTATTTATTGAAATTAATGCCCGCAAGGGCAGAAATGTTGAAAATACTTATAATAATCAAATTTAAAAAAAAAAAAACAAATGCTTTAGTGAATCCAAAGTTGATAATGAACAAATTACTGGTCGACGTTTAACACGAGAAGAAGATGAATTAGAAGATAGTGATGATGATGGTATTATTGTTATGTCGGGAATTGTTAGTCAAGCTGAGGATCGAAAAAAAAGTTTACACACTACGATGGCTGGTGATTAAAATATTTAATTCTACTAGTGTTACAGACATTAAAACATTGTAATTTAAATGGTTTAAAAATATAAATTAATCTTAGATCACTCTAACAACACTGAGTTTGAAGACCCTGATGAACTTGACGAAGATAATGATTGGGAAACTCAACAAATAAGGAAAGCAGTAACGGGATCACAATTAGCTGCTGCACAACAGGAGTCTGCTGGCATGGCTGCCATGTACAACAATATGGTTATACAAGAGCAAGCTATGATGCCAACATTAATAAATCAAAAGCCTCGATTCTCTGACTCGTACGCTCCACAAGCACCGATGACTATAATGAAGCTAGATGATATCATAAATAAATCTAAAGAAATGTATGTCATATATAATAAGTTCATAGTTGTAAAGTCTTATCTGTATTTTTATTTCAGAGTAAACGAGATAAAAAAAAATCAGATACCAGATCAGAAATATCATGAAGATTTGATAAATGAAATACCAGAGAATAAGAGTAGAATTGAAAAGCTTAGAAATAATGTTCCCGAGTTGGATGATTGTTTTCAGTTTTATCAAGATTTGCGTGGGTACGTCACTGATCTGGTAGAATGTCTTGATGAAAAGGTAGGCGTGTTTTCTAATTTTAGTGATGTTATTCAATAGACAGACTACTGTAAAAGAAATAATGCTTATTTAACTCTTACAAAATGATATTTAGTTAACATTCTAAAATTGTTTTAAGATACAATATTAGTAACTTTATTTAAGTGAATTCTTTATATTATGTAGATGTGGAACTATAAATATACAATACATATTATTTAATATTTTCTTATAACAACAAATTACATTTTAATAATTAAACCTTTTTGTATTTTGTAGAAAGTATGATGATAAAAGAATTTTTTAAGTCCCAAATAATACAAATAATAATGTTATTGGATATCTTTTTAGCTTGTATAAAAAAAAACAATTATTATTTTACTGTCTGAATAAGCTGTTGTAATAATGCTCATAGTTAACCATTAACTTTTTATTTTCATATTTATTCTTATTTATAATTGTATGAATTCTTGGATCAATTACATTACTCATTAATGTCTTAATTACTTGTTATTATTTGTACTGTGTACTTATTCCAACTAAGTCAAATGATTTTTAATAGATTCCTTCGCTTGTGGGATTGGAGCAACGTATAGCTAAGATGTATGAAAAGAGACGTACCGATTTGATAGCCCGGCGTAGACAAGATGTTCGAGATCAAGCAGAAGAATCTTCAACTAATAGTAATTACTAATTAATATTATTTATTTAAATATCTAAATTTAAACTTTCAAATAGAATTAGGAGTTTCAACAACACACACAAGATCTGAAGAACAACAAAGAAGAGCTGCAGAGCGTGAAGGTCGTCGCATCAGACGTATGAGAATGAGAGAAATAAAAGCAATAGGTAAACATGCAGATGGAATGTCTAGCGATGAAGAAGTTCCTGAAACAGATGCATCAGCATTTAGAAATCAATTAGGTACAAATCATTTTATAAATTTTACTCGACTTCTTTATTGTAACAAATATTAATTACATTCTAATATATTTGAATTTAATTTGTGATTTTTTTTTGTATAGAGGTTATTAAAAGTGACTCAAACCTGTTATTGGACGATGTTCTTGAGGAATTTTCATCAGTTGATTTAGTGTTAAAACATATGCTAGAATGGAAAAACAAGTATTTGGACAGCTATATTGAAGCTTATGTAAATGTGTGTTTACCCAAGTTAGTGGGACCTTTTGTTCGTATAGAAATGCTTACATGGAATCCATTAGAGGTATATCTTTTAGAAGTATAAAATATTGAATCAAAGTTTTATTTTTAAAATCAATTGAAATCATACAGACAAACTATTGATATCAATTATTTGCAGTACATTCCCATAAAAAAATGTGGCGCTTACAGTGTCGTGCCCAAGGGGTGGGGGAGGTTAGGGGTTATATCCCCCCCCCTTGACTTTTTTTGGTTGACTTCAACTTATTTAATTATTTTATATTAATTTAAATGTACTTTTACCTAAACATTTATAACATATATCCCCCCCCTATTGAAATTTCCTGGGCACGCCACTGGGCACTTACATTTTTTTAAATAAAGATATGGGATATCTATTTAAGCTATATTTTGCAAGAAAAACTTGAGAACAATATTAATTTTTATATATATTTAGCTAATAAAAGCTAATTAAAAAAAAATATATATACATATATTTGTCTCAACATGTGTTACACATGTAATAATATATATTCTTTTCTTTAGTTGATGAAATTCCGTTTAGTCTTGGTTTTACTGTTTTATCTTTTACAGTCCCTAATATAATATCTATTGATTTTATAAAAAATATGTATATTTTATTAGAAATTAAGCCATTATATGACTGTTTATAAATTGTATGTGTGATTTCTATAGGATGATCTGAAGTTAGAAGATATGTTTTGGTATAAAAGTATGCAAAAATATACCATGAAAGGAAATAATAATATTGATCAGTTGACAAAAGACGTTGATTTGGAATTAATCCCAAAAATTATAGAAAAAGTTGTGCTCATTAAAATTGATCGTATGTATGCTTACAAACAAAAAATTTTAACTTTTAAAATAAAAAATATTCCTTTTTAATTTATAGAAATGGTAACGAGTCAGTGGGATCCATTGTCGTCAAAACAGACTAAACATATCTGTAGTCTTGTTAAGCATATACTGGACGTGTACCCAACTATTGATCCAGACAGTAAATTATTAATGATGTTGATGACCAATATAGTGGACAGAATACGAGACTCTGTTGATTATGATGTGTTTATTCCGATTTCCTCTAGACAGTGAGTTAATTTAAAAATGTATAAAGTCAATGTCTTAAAATTATTTTTTTTCCAGAGTAATGAATACTGGTCGTATGAATGTATTTTTTCAAAGACAGTTTAACATGGCTGTAAAATTATTGGGAAATATACTGAGTTGGCATCGAATCATTGAAGACGTTGTGTTAATAGATTTAGCCATAAATCAAATACTCAACAGATATTTGTTGACATCTGTTCGAACATTACAGCCACTAGAAGCTATTTTAAAAATTACAATGGTATATTTTTATTGACTGTTTATAAACACCGTACATTAAAATCATTAAAAATGTTAACGTTTTTAGATTGCTCGGATGTTACCTAGTTCATGGTTGTCATATGGAAACACTACCCCTAAAGAACTAACACCATTTTTAAACCAGTCAAAATTAGTTTCAATAGAGATAGATAAGTCACATCCACAGGCAAAGTATGTTGAAATATTTGTAATTCACAATTCTAATGTTTATAATTTATTTTTACTATTGTAATTAAATGATTGGTTTGTTTTTCTAATAGGCTGGCCCTGGATAAACTCAACGAAGTTCTCAGACTATGACATTTCATTCTGACTCATTCCATCGGTATATCGTTTGTAATGACTAATGTACTAGTGAAATTTAAATATTAAAATTATATTTAATTAATTATAGATACTTGTATTTCCATGTGTAAATTATTACACCTTTTAACAATATGTTTATTTATAATATTAATAAAAATAATTTTTTGGCTGTTGAAAAATAATGTTTTACACAACCAACTTTTTTATTATTTAAAATATAATTTCGTGTGTGCTTTTATTTATTGTAAAGCGTAAACAGATAATGCATTAAATAGAGAATATAAGTAAGTTTGTACACTTCCAATTGCTTTCCCCCCTGGAAAAATCCCTATTGCTAGACTTTTTTACATTTCACACAAAACTATAATTTTTATTTTTCCTAATTCTGCACTGTCATCTTTAGTTTATACATGATTTATAATTTTAAATTCTGAATGGAGCGACGAATGTATAATGATTTTAAAATGATGTGTTTTTTTGATATTTTTATCTTATCAGTTTTAAATATAAAAATAATAGTATAGGTAGTAGGTCGATACAAAACAGTACCTAGTGTACAATATTAGTATTTAGTTTGTTGCTCAAGTTTAATTTTAAGGGGAATGGAGACAAACCAATGGACCTATTTTTTTTTTTTTTATCCGTGCTATTAAGTATTGTTTAGTGTTATGGTTTTTCGAATTATAATCAACGAAATATTTAAAAATATTACAATATTGTGCGGTACATCGCATGGACTTTAATTTATTTCCTCGGCTTTTTTGTCCGCCTACCAATGGCGGGAGTTCGCTATCTATAAAATGGTACTATTTAGAAATCCGTGGTCGGCCTCTCGCTCGCTTATCATCGTAATTTCGTCGACTGCCGAGACGATAACAGAGTCACGGAGGTGACTGATAACAACCAAAAGTTTCGTGCGCATACGATTATTACTTAATAGGCACTCTTAAATCTTAATTTTCTCTATATTATAGCGATTTCACATTTATCATTACCAATAAACATTGATCGTGCGAACGGAAAGTACAATCTCAAACGGTTAATAGTCTGGTACTTGCTGTCTTGTTCGCTGCTGCGTCTGTAGCATCACCTTCTGCGACAGGAGCGCGGAACAGGTAGTGGTTTTTATTCTATTAAATTGAAACGAGAAAATTATTTTTCATTCTTCTCCCGACTAGACACGACACGGCCATGTGCGAAAAGCGTAAAGTCATGTTCGTGTGTTTGGGTAACATCTGTCGATCTCCGATGGCCGAGGCAGTGTTTAACGAAGTGGCCATGCAAAAAGGTGTAGCCGACAAGTGGTATGCTGAAAGTTCTGGTACAGGGGGATGGCACGTAGGGTGTTCACCGGACCCACGGACGATGACTGTACTGAAGAACAATGGTATAAAGTACAAGCATTCCGCGCAACAGTTTGACTTGGAAGACTTGAACAAGTTTGATTTCGTTTTTGGAATGGATAAGAGTAACGTGGACTTTATCAATCGCAAAAAACCATCGGATAATACAAAAGCGAAAATATTTATGTTAGGGTCATTTGATCCGGAAGCAAAAACCACCGGTAAAACCATTATAGAAGACCCATATTATGATACAGATCTTCGAGGATTCGAAAAATGTTTTCAACAATGTATGAGGTCTTGTCAAGCATTTCTGGACGAATATAATTAAATTTTTTTTTATAACTTTTATTAAATAATAAATAATGGAACAAAATGTTTTTTTTTTTAAACTTGGTAATCTTAATATAATGTGAATGAATATATTAATATAATAATACAATTTATACCTAAGAAACAAAATGAAATAGTTACTTATTTAAATTCTTGCTTATTTCAGGGATTAATAATGACTTGATAAAACTGTTGCCATTCGTAATGTTGGTGGTGGCAATTACATACTCAATTGTAGCTGAAAACAATTTTGGAAATTATAAATTTAAACATACATGCATAAAATATGATTTGTCAACTTACAGTCTTCAAGTGATGATAAGAATCTGAGAGCAGATATTTCAGCAAATGTACATCCTCCAATAAAGAACACGAGAACAACTTTTTGAGAGTCAGCCAAAAAACTGTTATTGGTAGCTGTATAAATAAAAACAACAGTAAAAAATATAGTAAATATTTAAACCATTACAATAAATTTTTCTTTGCTATTTTTGCTGACGACAACAAATTGTTTCTAGATATTAATTCTATTTGAGAACAGCCTGCTCTTCACGGAAGACCTAACCCTGTGGCTGTTGGTCTCGTATGTTTGGCTTATCCCTCAACTTGTTCAAATGTCCCTCCAAGTTTTCTCCACTTCTATATATTACCTATTTTCGTTAATAATAAGTAATAATCCTCGATTCAAAGTTGACTTTCCACACTCACATTGATAATATAACTTTTAAGGAATTTAGAAAAGTGAATGCACAAACTTTATGTTAACCACATCCCTCAGAGCTATATTGCTCCCTTCTTTGTTCTATTCTTAGTTAGGACGTTGTTTTATTCTGTGATTATGGTCTTAATCTGGCACCCTTTTATAGCTTGGAGTAGTTTCAACTTGAGAGCGTCCCGAGTACGTTTTTGAAATTTTTTGCATATAACGTACTGCACATTGATTATTCTCCATACAACTATACTCCTATTCTTGAATGTTTGGGATTACCGACTAAGAACACTAGTGAATCATAGAGGCTACAACAACCTGTATTTTTGGCATAAATTAATCTCAGGGCAAGTTGATGTAACTAGTTTTTGTATTCCTTTTATACAATCGACTACCTAAAAAATAGTCCCCTTGCAAAATGATGCGGCTAGCTAATGAAGATCTGTCTTATTCTTTTCAGTGTTAATGTCATTTATACATTAAATTGTATTTTGTGTCGAATAAGTTATTAGAATATTCGATTTTTTATCTTTTATTATTTTGTAAATGTTAATACTATAATATTGTTATATTAAATTATTAAAATTTTATTTTTACAAGCTATTGTATACTACAGTACTGTACCCTTGGTAATCTAGCTGTGCGATAATTAGACTTTTTTTGACTATAACAACCATACATTTATTAAAACTAACTAAATTAAGTCAGACAAACCGATTAGATATTTTATTTTTATCCAGTTAATGTTGACGTGTACATTGTGTATTGGTTAGTTATTGTGTTGAATAATGCATAACCTACACGTTAAATTAAAACGCCACCGGTATTTAGGTTTTGCAATGAGTAAAAATGGGTAGTTATAAGAAACTCCAATAATCTGGCAGCCCTCTGGTCTGATATCTGCTGAATTACTAAGATGCTACTATAATTAGACTTTGATCCTTAGGTCATATACGTATAATATGGTCTAAGTTTTGGCCTATCTAAAAAATAATAAATAAATTACCTTGATCAACTTCAGAATTAACATGTTCAACAATAGGCCCAGGTAATAATGGCAGAACGTCAGACAATACTTTACTGTCTGACTTGGAGATATGTTGAATTAACCTAACACTCAGTGGAGCATAAATCCCATAAACATAGTTAATATCATCCGGATCGACTTCGCTCATTTCATAAACATCTAAGTTTAATAGACGGCGACAAACAGCATAACTCCTTGAATTTGCCTGTAACAAATACTCATTAAATTTAATTTTCTAATTGAAATTTTAAAAAGTACATTTACTTGGATTTTAATGAGACCAGATTTTTCCAAATGGGTCATTGTTATGAGGTGTTTGAAACCATAAACTTGAATGATTTCTCTCTTGTAATATTCTAAAGTTTTTTGCTTTAATCCTGAATTTACAGCAGATTGCATACATATTAATCGCAACACCTACAACATATATTAAATGTTTTGTATAATATTTGACTTTGTGAATTGTGAGGAAGTTATAATTACTGTTATAAGATCAAATTTATTGGAAATCAAATCTTCTATCTGAGGTAAAACCTTGTCTGATTCAATACCCAAAATCAGTTCTTGTTGTACATTTATTAAATCCCGAAAACTAGTTTTGTCAGTTAGTTCTTTGATTAGTCCAGCAACTGTGGTATCTAATCAACACATCAATTAAACAATAATATTTAGTCAATATCAAATATTCATATTTTGAATAAATAGGTAGGTATTAAGTAAAATTAATTATGGGATGATTACATGTAGAAAGTTGTTTTTTTAGTGCCAGCATGTAAGGAAGTCTAGACACTAACTGTTTCATTTCCTGAACAGTTTTACCACTTCGATTTTCATCATATTCTGAAGTAATGTGTTTGGCTCTTTTACTTAAATTCATTAATACTGCATTAAAGTGTTTATTTCTTTTTAAATTTAATCAATAAAAATGTTAATGTAAATTATTCAACAAACTATAATCTTTATGTTTATATCAGTGTTTCCCAACTGGTGTTCAGCACCATTTCCTATTTTCATCAATGTTCTATTACATGGTATTCATTATATGTATATTTTTTTAAAAATCCATTTTGGGTATGTTCATAGTTGAGATAGCAAGCAGTTGCCAGATAGTAACAATTATTATAGGCAACCAATAATAACAAATTGATAAAGGTGCCAGAGTCAGTGCATTTTTAGTACAAAAATATGTCTTATGGGAAACCTCTTAATACCTTAAATAATAGTAGGATTTTGTTAATTATTTTAAATTTAAAAGAAGAGAACAATATAGGTCAGATCAAAGTCTGATTTTCAAAATTATAATTATAGAATCTAAAATACGCATTTGAACATAAACATTGACAACATTTGTTGTTTTACAAAAGATTTTTTCTACAACAGAAATATTAAAATTTTTGGTTTGATCCTACCTTAAAAGGATATCCAGTGCACTCTTTGTTTTCTCTCTCTAGCACACGAGTAACATAGACAAAACGCATTTACTCGTTTAATTGTATGTATATTATGAGCATGTAAATTATTACAATTTAGAAATGCTTAAAAATTGTATGAAAATTAAAATATAGCCAATTTAGTTCTTAGTTTGATAATAGATGAATTCATTCTAGTATTAAAAGTAACAACACAGGGTTGGTTCTGCTAAAAATAAATTTGGTATGTTGTGCGTGGGTCAGAGAGAAACCTAATAATGCACAGATATCCTCTCAATTATTATAACTGCCACTGACCTATGTAAGTCTAAAATTAGTTAATAAAAGTGGTCCTAGTTATGAGCAAAAAAATCATGGAAAATCGAAAGCTCTTAATGTGGTCCAACTGTCAAAAAGTGGGAAACACTGATTTAAAACTACTTATTGTTAGTCCACTGAAAAACATACCTAGTTTCAGCAAAAATCTCATCGTTTGAATTTAATACAATCTTTTTACTTGTTAACATATTAACATTATCTTCTTCGGAAACAAATTTGTCGGCTGGTAATTCTACAGTACCTGAAACAAAATATAATTACACAATAATTATATAAATTAAATCTATTATTTAAAATAGACTTACAACAATCAATTCCAAAAAGCTCATCGATAAGTCCTTCAAATGTTAACTGGGTGGCCATTGGTGTCATTAAGTCCACAGAACGGTCAATTAAAACAAGATGATCAATTGTTTTATAATTTCTGTTTGCTTTAGAATTAGTTTTGCGAGGTTCTAAAGATATTTTAGATACTAATTCCCAAACTTGTTTAACAACAGGACCCTTGCCAGTTACACGGCCAATGCGCCCATAAAGATCTTCTAGACTAACAATTGCTTGTGCAACACGATATAGACATGTTGGATCATTTTCTAACGATAACTCCTAAAAATAAATAAATAATTATAGTCAACAAATATGAATACTAAATGTACTGCAAAAATATTTGTTAAAGATGTTCAATTTATCAATTTATGTGATTTTTCTCATTATTATTGGTATAGTTATATTATTATGTTATTATTATATTATTACCACACTTATATACATTGGTAAAAAAAAAAACTGATAAAAATAAAAATGAAGAATCTTACAAACAGGGGCATCATTTGCAGACTCAGAGTATACATTTGCGTATCTAAAATTCAGTATTATTATTTTTGGCCTCCTATGAATAGCCAAATTTAAGACTTAAGGTAATGTTGCAATGGTTAAGAGCTAAGAACAAATAATTAAGCCGTAGATGGTTATTTGAATTATTAATACTATTCATATTTCCCCTCTTCTCATCAAAGTTAACTTCAAATTATTTACTGTCTAATATTATATTAATTGGGTCAATTAGCCATAAATAATGTAAAATATTTTGATGAAAAATAGTGTTGTTTAATATTTATGCATACCAAAAAAAATGTAATTATGCCCCTGCTTATAAACCTAGCAAAAGCAAAACATGTACTAGCCACAAGTGCACACAAATACACTAAGGACTTAAGTTTAAGAATATAAATATATACCTTGTAACAATCATTCATTTCCATTGACATAAGATCATTTTCCAATGGAAATAAAAAACACCGAAATTCTTCAATGAGAACAAAATTTCCTAAAACTCCTTTTCTCTGAAAAAATATAATTAATTAATTAATCATTTTTAATAGTAATGTTAAAAAAATACAATATACTATATACTATTTAAAATATAATAGTAATAAGAACTTACTTCTAAACGTTTTTCACATAATAAACTACGAGTAGGAACAAAAAATAAATGGTATTCTCTTTGCTTGAGATCATCTTGATTTTCCCTGAAATAATATATTTATTTGAGTTAAATAATTTAATTAATCTACCATATTTATGTTGCATAAACATTTTTTAAATTTAATGGATCAAGCATTGGCCACTAAATCATATTTAAGGGACCGTTAGCTCACTATTGATTTGTTAAATGTTTAGCGATTGTTCATGCAACCCGGCATTAGGCACATCTTTAGAATTATTGTTGGTTAGGTATTATTTAGTTATTGAAATGCAAAAAACATTTGTGAAGTATGTGGTCTTTGTATTATTTCAATATATAACTCAATAGACAATAATAACTATATTCATTAATAAAAAATGAATTGTAATGAAACACACATACTTGTGAATATTATCACATATCATATCCATGTGTGTTAAAAACGGTCTTGTGATAAATATGACATTTTTCACTTTTTCACGAAAATTACTTAACTTGCCAGTGTTTAGAATAAATACTTCTTTCACGTCATGTTCTCGTAACAAGCTATATGTAGCTATCAAACCAATAGGTCTTGTTAGTCCTTCGTCCAAAATTATAACCTGCACATTATGTTTTAATTGTTTAATCACACTACCTAGTAGTATATTAGCAATTCTTAATTAGAACTGTACCTTAGGACCATCACACTTGTCCAATAAATTAATTAAATCTTTGGCTGCACCCTCTTGAAGTAGACTAATATTTACTCGGCTACTGGTCAAATAATTAGACATGGTGGACAATAAAATTAATGAAATATGAACATAAATTTCAAAATAATAAATTAGGTTTCTGAGTAATTGACATTTGTATTAAAAGTGAAAACATTTACAGTATTTTTTTCTACTCTTATTTATTTTTCATCGAATTTCTAAAAGTTTATTAAATATTTAAATTATTATTTTTGTTAATTCAAATTTGTATTTTATATTATTTTGTATTAATTAGTTAATAATTAATTTTTTTTTGTGCGCTGTTTAGTGTTTATAGGTATCATAATATATTATCGCCATCAAGGTGATAATTGATAACATAATCTAAGGTGAAAACTATCAAAATAAAAAACCAAAAGATTTTTAAAAGATTTTGATAATAATGCAGTTGGTTACACTGTTAACCGTATGTTTATGATTTTATTCTTTGAGAGATAAAATTTTTATTAAAAAGGTAAAGCCGTAAAGGTTACAATTTTGTCTGCAATTACAAGGAAGCTGAAATTTCATAATCTTTTAAATCTCCATACATTAAACATTTTAATACTTCAATTCACTTTATAATCATGTTCGGCTTATCGAAATTAGCTCAGCCTATGGCCAAGCAATCCCTACAAGTAATGTCCAAGAGAACAAATATCACTGTTAACGGTCCACCTCAAGTCAGAATGCCAAAATGGGTAAACACTAAGTTTTTTGTATTATAATTGCTTTAAACTTACATAATATATATTGTCTTATTAAATATTTTAATTGTTAAATGGATACAACTTTGATTTTGTATTTATTGCAATTTTTGTATGCATATGAAATGTGCTATTCTGTAGTGAAATCTTAAAAATATCTACAATTAATTTTTTAATTTAAGTAATTAATTTGACTTAGATAATGCAAATTACATTCTAAACTATATTTTATTTACTGATATAATTGTGTTGAATTTTGTTAACAACTACTAATAGCAATTATTTCATATTGTTTTGTTCTAGCAACAACTGCTTATCGGAGGTTCTGCATCTGGATCAATCTTGATCATACCTATTTGGGTTCTGTATGACTTAAAGAGTCTTCCACGAGCTTAATTACTTTACTTCATGTTTTTGTTGCATTATTATAAATTTAGATATGTACTATGTAAACATTTTTTCTATAGAAATAAAATGAAATTGTAGTTAAATACTACCAACTGTATAAAATTATGTAGTTTTGATTATTAACTTTACCTAAAATTCTTATTTATATTTTGAGTATGTTTGCTTGGTATAATAATAAAAGTAATTTTTATTTAGCTATTTAAGTTAAATAATTTTAGATTAAAATGTAATGTGTAATTTTTTTGAGAATTTTGATGTATTTAAATCAAAATTCAAACCAGTAGTTTCCTAGTTATTACACACTTTATGCTAAGGATAGTATAGTTTTTTAATAGGGAAGAAAGATATGCTTACACAGTAAACCTTGTTATCTATAGTCTATAAACATAATATAAAATAATACGTCATTTTATATTTATTTAGTCAAACACTTAGGTATAAGGCAATTAGCAAGTAAAATCCTTCTTGATTTATTTAGTTATTTTTCTTATTCCATGTGTAGAACTGTTAAAGCATATCCCTATTATGGACTATTATCCTTAGTACAAATTGTCCAATAACTAAGAAACCACTCATACTAATTTCGATTTCGATACATCAAAATTCTCAAAAAATGTATCCGCTAAATAATTTAAAGACATCAAGTGGGATTCTCATTTGAAAAACAGATATTCGTATCGCCATAGGACACTTCTTAAGTGGCACAAAAAATCTCAAGAATAAGAAAATATGGTTTTTGAGTATATTAAAGATAAAACCTTCATTATTAAAGAAAAAAAAAGGGGTGAGCATACTTGTTGGATCACCTGTATATCTTAGTCCGTGCTTAAAACACTGCTTTGAATAGATAAGAGTAACAGTTGTTTAAAAATTGTTAAATCATATGAAATTATTTAATAATTAATATACAAAAATCTTGTTGTGTCTATATTTTGTAAATACGTAGTATTTATTTATACAGGTAGAATCAGACAATCTAGAACTTTTCTTCTTAAATGGCCGTTTTTTGGAGTGATCAGAAATATTTAAATCAGAGTTTGGGATTCCAACTTAGTTATAACTTATGGCTGTTTGAAGTTTAAGTCATCACCTTGTTGTTTTTGAACTATTTAATCAATAACACAGTGTGTTATTGTTTTTCAGTTTTTTCAAACAAAAAAAAAACTTAACTTAAAGTATTTATTTAAGGTCTTGTTATTTAGGGGATAATAGTACCTAAGTTGCCTCACCAAAAAACTAGTTGTTTAATCATATTTGTTTTAGAACAAAAATTATAGACTAATATTATGACTATAGGTATTAGGCACCTCGTACGTAATCTAATATCTATGTAAAGAGTACACTTTAGTTCATCCACCAAATATTAATTATTTAATCTAGTCTTTGGTTCATCTACACAACACTGATACTTTTTGAATTTTTATTTAAAAAAGTAATGGTAGTTTTTGAAATAATGAGCAGCTATAGTAGGTATCAAATTATTTTAGGTTAAAAATCTCCCAGTGGCCATGAATAACCATACAATCTTTGTGTAAGACAATACATAAATTCTATTATTTCTTAAAACTTTAAGAATATAGGTTATACCAATAACCAAAAGGTACATAAACATAACTTATGTAGTTTATGTTATCTGCAAAATAAATTATTTTTATTAAATTTATGACATGTTTTTTTATTTTACCAAGGAAGTGTGACTAAATTTTCTTAGAAGTTAGAACCCTTTTTTATAACTTATGTTATTAGAATACTTTTGGCTTTCAGTAGGTATCACACATTTATCACCAGTGTTTAAGTATTTTGGTGGCATTTCCTTGGAGTAGGTAGATATATTATTTTGCAATGGAAATTGTTAACTCATAAATAAAAATAATTGAAAATTGTAATACTTAGTATCATAGACTTATAGTACACTATGTATAGGTTAGTTAGGTTAGTCATAGTTTGTAGGTCCATCGTTTATGCGTAGGTACCTAGTTTGCGTGTATGTAATAAAACATGCTGGAAAAACTTTAACCACAATTTGTTTTGAATATTACCCGTCGTTGATGCTAAAAAAATTAATTTGTGTTTTTTCACCGTGGCTTTTTATCCTACTTACATTTTCCAGCGAAGCTGGTGTTAAGATGCATAAATCCCCGAACTAAAGTCCGACGAAAAAAATACCGGTAACGTCTACAAATCCCTGAATTTAATACTTGTATATACCAATACTCTACATAAAATGACTGCTTGTAGGTGATTTTGTCATTTAATTAACTAGGTACCTACCTATAAAATATACAGAGGTAACTTTTATCAGTACCTATTAATAATTCAACCAAAATAATATGCAAATTTATACGGATTGCCGATTGGTAAATCAAGCAAATTTAAACTGGCCTGTCTGTGGTAAAACTAAAAAATCTTTAAGGTAAAAAGACACTATGCCCCCTTGCACCCCTTTCCAGATTAAGTCTATTATTACTGGAAGTCTTGAGGTTGGAGCCGATCACGATAGGGCAAAATAGCATTAAGTAGTACCTTTAATGGTCCTAACACTCCTAACAATAAATACATTTTTAAAAAAATTAGGGTATCAGGCAGTATTGAAATTGACAATTATTTTTTTTTTATCAGGATGGCCAAGATTATCAACTAACTATTTAGTCAGGATCAGGGTATTATATTTTATTCATCTTAAGTTAAATAACCTCATAAAATAAATGGAATGCTATTACGTAATCATAAATTAATAAATAATAAATATTGGATTTTTTACTGGACTCAATCTCCTAGCAGATCTACAACTAGTCGAAATTTTTGGTAGAATACCATTATAGGCGTACACAGACATGGATTTCGGGGGTGCCTGCCATAATTTTAGGCCCTCCTTCAACAAGACATGTACATAATAACCAGTGGGCAGTGGCCAGTGGTAGAGAGCCTTAATAATGATTAATTAATTACCAATACCAAGTAAGATATAAATTTCTTTGGATCTAAATATCTAATATGATTTCATTATTTATTTGTTATTTGAATAATTTTGTAGTTATTAACATCTAGCTGTTATAATCATAATAAGCTATTCAGAGTAGATTTAAAATATTTTACGTTTTACGTCATTTTATTGTAATAAAATCAATTAAAATACGGGCTCTGTGCTCTGAAACTCAAACTTTAGGGCTCCAATTACGAAATGTCGGGGGGGTGCACACCGAACACCACGTGATGGTTAATACCAATAGGACTCAAGTATCTAAAAAAAGCAAAAAATATAATGATCAAAGTTATAAATTGTGATATATGGCGGGAATTCTGCCGCATTCATCAGTGAAGCGTTGTCTCGTAAAACATATCACAAAAAATTATAGTATACCTACCTATAACCTATATTGACTGTAAATTGCAACAAGCATTAAACTACAACTGGCATGACCAACCTCGGGCAACGGCTGTTAATTGCAAATCAATTACGAATGCATTTACTATTTACGCGACGGCTGACGGTCAATAGGTCGTATTGGCAGGAAGTGAACCGCCAAGTAGGTAATAGGTATTGTCTATTAATGGATCGTACGCGGCAGCACTCGCAGCAGCTGCTTGTCCGCTAAGGTCCTTTCGCGCGATAAGATCGTCTGATAGCAAACGGTTTTGACGTATCCGATTGGTCCAACCGCACGTTTCCTCCTCGTCGTCCGTCATCAACAACTTACTTCTGGCAAGTGGCAACGGTCGCGGTGGCCAGACGTACAAATTGTCCGAATCACTTGCTACGCAAAACTTTTCTGTCGTCAATAAACGACAATCAATCAGTTAAGTAATATCTGGACTTTATCGACTCAATTAGCCCTCGACGTCGTACATCATGGCTCGCGTTTTGGTCGGCGTTAAACGCGTAATCGATTACGCGGTGAAGATCCGCGTCAAGCCCGACAAGACTGGCGTTGTCACCGACGGCGTCAAGCACGGCCTGAACCCGTTTGACGAGATCGCCGTCGAGGAGGCCGTCCGCCTCAAGGAGAAGAAGATCGCGTCTGAGGTGATCGCCGTGTCGTGCGGCCTACCCCAGGCCCAGGAGTCGCTGCGAACTGCCCTGGCGATGGGTGCAGACCGTGCCGTCCATGTCGAGGTGCCTCAGGCCCAGTACGATACTCTTCTGCCGCTGCACGTGTCCAAAATGCTGGCCAGGGTGGCAGTGGACGAGAAGGCAGACATTGTCATCGTTGGCAAGCAGGCCATTGATGACGATTCCAACCAGACGGCTCAGATGACTGCTGCCCTATTGGGCTGGCCTCAGGCCACTTTCGCTTCAGAGGTGACCGTTGCTGATGGCAATGTGCTGGTCAAGCGAGAGGTAGACGGTGGCTTGGAGACAGTTAAAGTCAAATTGCCAGCTGTCATTAGCGCCGACTTGCGGCTCAATGAGCCGCGGTATGCTACTCTGCCCAATATCATGAAGGCCAAGAAGAAGCCCATCAAAAAGCTCACAGCCACAGATGTCGGTGTGGACTTGGCGCCACGTCAACAAGTGTTGAGCGTAGAAGACCCGCCCACCAGACAGGCTGGTTCCATTGTGCCTGATGTCGACACTCTCATCACCAAGTTGAAAGAAAAGGGTCATTTGTAATGCAATGTCACCAATACTGTTGTTTTAGTTCTTACAAATTCTTCGTGAGGTTTTCAGCTGTTACCAATAATATTTTTTCAAAATCGATTTTATTTTACTTGTAATTTAAAAGATCAAATATTAATACAATGAACATTTTTGTAACGGCAATCTTTTTTTTATATTTTGTAGATTTCATCGACTTATGTCATAATTATTTTTATCAATTTATTGTTGTTTGTTAGTGATATAATAAAGTATATTTTCTGGTTAAAGAAACTTTTCTTCAATCAATAGTTTAAAATGTACGTCAACAATTAGAACTATGCTCTAACAGTTTAATTTAAATATTCACTTGTATAATATAATTAAAAATTAGGCTTTTAAAATTGTAGTGACCTATAGCATAATTTTTTTAAAGCCGTTGAATGTGGCTAATACACAGAAAGGCATTTGATTAATGTTAGAAAAAAAAACTTTGCATACTTCAAAATCTTCAAAAAATAATGAATTGTGTCAATGTGTTAATGCTTTACCTAAAAAAAATTAACTCTTAGCATTATCTACCATGTACCAAGAAAATTAATCATTTTACTAAATGTTAAACTATTATTTATATAAATATCTATATGTTGAATTAAAAATTATACTTTTCATTCAATTTCATTAATCTAATATAATTAAAAATGAATGTTGCAAGGATTATGTATATAGGTAGTAAGGAAATCATTAAATTGTGGTTTATAAAATACAATTATAGGTATACCTTTTCAAGGTTAGTTAGTTTAAAAAAATTTGTATCTTCTAACAGGAAGGGGCAGGGGTTATGATCCTCTATTTTCTTGATACATTTGTACATAAGTTATTCATCTGTAATTTGTGGGGTTATATGTTGGTACTTGATATTATGACAAAATATGTTTGAATAGAATTCCTCAAGAGGACACTATACTCGCATGTGTTGTATGTTATATAAATGTTCATCACAGTAAAAACTGTTTTGGGCGGGATAGAACTGTACAGTTTGTACTCCTAGTGGAGACACCTAAAACGTACACAATATAGAAGAAAATATTTTCTGTTGTGGCATTTTTATTTGTTTGATATCATTAATAAGTCATTAATAAATCTAATATTTGTATGTTTTCCAAACTTAAATAACTTTGGATATAATGGTCCTTTCAAAAAAATAAAAACCCTACTTCTCTATTCATGGTGAAAATTTGGTTTCTTAGTTATAACTGTAGACTTCTTGGTTCATTGTAGAAACAGTTTTTGCTATGTTTTGCATTTGTAAGACGGCTCCCAACACATGCGAGTCCTCTTAATAAAATTAATAAAAAAAAATCTATAAAAAGGTAAAAAAATGTCTATCCCCTCAGGGCGAATTCCCAATTGGCTGTTTTAATTTTGTCATTTACTTTTAAAGTGTAACATAAGTTGTTGATTTTTATAAAAATTCAATGACCTAGTCCCATATTATAAGTATACAATTATCAACCTATTAATGTCCTGTAACAAGTCATTATACAGTTTTATATTTGCAATTGACTTAGTTCTCATGATTAATAAGAATAACTAAAATGCCATATTTTATAAAACAATTTTGATAACTGCATTAAATATTCAATGTTAAAAATAAACACTTATAATATTTATATTTATCTAAACAAAATGTTATAATTACAATTGTATATTATTAAAAGATCTATATGATTTTTATAAATTCAAATGAGATTATAAATACATAAAATATTTTCTAAACTTTGTAAAATGGAATGTACAAAAATATATTTTCATCTACGTTTTAATGACTAATTATTGTTAGAATTAGATATCAAATTTTTTTTTATGAGACTAGTATATTGTTTCAAACTAGACAATGCAGCTGTACTTGTAACAAAACTACCGGTTGGATTCCTGGGTCTAAAAATATTCAAAAGCTCGTTTCGTTCAGCTGCTTTCAAACCCTGTTACATAATTGAATAATTAAGTTTTATATATTTTATGGTGCTATACAAACATAATTTATAGCAATATTCAAAATAAAGTAAAAAAAAACCACAAACCTTCATTTCTAATATTTTCTGAAATTCTGTCATATCAGATTCTGGTAATAGTTTTAAATATTGATCGACAAAAGATGTATAGTGTTTTATTGTTGGAGCCATTACTAATTTCAATATCATTTCTGCTTTTGTCATTCCCTTAACTACAACCTTTGTGTAACTGAAATAAAATTACAACACAAAAATAAATTTATAAACTTTTTTGTGGTGATTTATGTTACCTAGCAGGAGCTTTACGGTTATCATCAAGGTTCATTGATGGCAAGTCTAATAAAATGGTTTTCAGTGAATGTGTATCCAACAACAATTGTTCAGCACCGATATTTGATAGCGGTTTGCACTTATACAAATGTTGTATAAATTTAGGTATGAAAGAACTAAAATATAAAATACACAGGTATTATAATATTATATTATGCGATTCATATTTAAAAAATATTTACATTTTATTGGTTTACTAATATTTTCATATTATTACTTATTTTTTAAATTTTTTTTCTTAGCCCTTATAAAAAGTTTAGCTCAACAATTAAAGTATCTTACAGCTACTCAAAATAAAATAAACAATATGTGTACAATACTTATTGATGTTATTAACACATACTACATAGTTGTAGCAACAATTTTAGAATAGAGTTCCAACTTCCAATGTAGATTCAATGAAAATCTAAAAATTCGATAACTTATTGGTTAAGCTCGTTATATATCCTTATTACATACATTGGGTTGAAAAAAGTAGGTGAATAGGTAAAACTCTGCTGTACATTAGGTGTCTAGAGAGTCACTAAAATAATTGTGTTAAATTTGAATTCAATTATATAAAATCCTATAATATTACCTACTGAGTAAATTGTATGATACTTTTGTGAATTGTGATTCAAGTAATTTATTTAACCAGGTTTAGGTATTAGTATTACAAAAGGTTAAAATAATTTTTGCATTAAAAATTGCATTTAAATATGTCATTGTGTGTATAGTGTATACTGTATGTTTTTATACAATAACATAATGCACTTTAAGTCTTAAGAACACACAAATCAAATTTTTAAACTACAACAAAATAACAAATCGAAATCGATATTATTGGTATTAATATGTAATTTCATTTGACAAGTAAATTTCATCCAGCAAAGTCTATTCGTTTTAAGTAATATTATATTTATGATAGCCATTTAACATTACTCAGAGGATACCATGAGTAGGCAACTATTGTCCTCCAAAAATGTTTTTTTTTGTTTGGATAAAATAAATAAATAAATAAATACATAATTACATTTTATAGTCCATAAAAAATTAAAAACTATAATGAGTTTAACCAGTAGCAGGGGTAGGGTTCAAACCTCTCCCTGAAATGTTTTTCTTCTACAAAAAATCTCTTTACCATCATAATCGATACACAGAATAGAATAATTGTGTTGGTCATTTTTAATGAATAGAAAATACATTTTGAAACGGTAATAAAATCAAAAATTGAAGTTTCATTTGTTTTTGGTTTATGTAATATTATGAACATTGTTAAAAATCTGAGATAATTTTTTTATCAATTATTACCACACCTATAACGGCCTGAAAAGGCTCTACATCAGGTTAGATACTCTAAACGTAGGATTTATTTTTGACTTGACACTATAATATGTTTTAACAAATTATGAAAAAACTGTTAAGTATTGTAAAATTAAAATGAGAACAAAGCCCTGGGTCTGTGATTAATCTTAGGTAAAAAAAAATCCCTAACCAAACTAAAATCCGGCATACACTACTGAGCTGAACTCAGTATAGTTAATAAACTAATACAATTTATTTAGCTAATTGTTTGAACTTAATGGCTTAGAATAAACACAGGTGTGTCATTAACTTACTTGGCAAAAGTGATACAAAACTTTGTAAAATATTTTCTGGATGTTGATAAATATGATCGAACAATAGGAACAACAGCTCTCAAATGTGTGGTCATAATAGTAACATATTCACTTTGATCACCGACCGATGAAATATTTTGCCAAGGAACCTGAAAGAGATATTTTGATTTAAATTATGGAAATAACAATTAACAATATACATAATTATTGATCTATAAAATCCGAGCAATCCATATTACTTACTCTGGTCATATTGTTTAATGCAGGTTCCAAATCAGCTTCTAAATGTTGAACCAAAAGATTAATAGACATGAAAATAATGCTGAAACAAAGATAAAATAGCATGAAATATATATTTTTTAACTATAGTTGACTATATTACTTTTGAAATAAATCATTTTCATTGGTCATACTAATTTTTTCAACCAAGCAATGGTCAATTTTTTCTTTTAATTTTTCTTCTAACTGTTGTGTGGTTTCCATACAGTAATCGGCAGTTGTTAGTATACTTAAAACAAATTCATGCTGTATATGCATTATGTTTATAATTTTAGATTTTAGTATTGATTCCTTACCAACAAATTTTGGCTAATTCTTGTGGTGTACAATTTAAATTTTTAATACTAGCTTCAGTCATCCCACTTGGAAGAAGTTGTAAATCTTTTATTAAGTCTTTGGTCATGTTTGAAACATTTGTTGTTAGAGAAGTAGCTGGATGACTTATTCTACAAATTACAGTTTTATAGATGGTATAACAGTGAGATTTATGATACTTAACATTATTCTAAAATTAAAACCAATGTTTATACTTTGGAAGATTAACTTCTAGTACTTTAGTGGCATATTCTTTAAGATATTTCTGAAATACGGCTGCTAATGCAAGCATTGGATTATGATTACTGAGCTCAGTACATTGTACTAGTGACTTCTTATAAAACAAAAATAAGTCAGCACAATTTGGTAGAACAGTAGCTGTTTGATCGTCAATATTTTCTTTCGCCAATGTTATCTTATTGTCACTTACAAAACGCTCAATCAGTTCAGAAAGATTTCTTTAAGTAAAAAAAGTCAATTTAATAAATCTAAAAATGTATTCCTTATTAACGTTCATAGACTTAAATGAAATACTTACTTATCTACACTATCAATATAAATATAAAGAAATGGTTGAAAACAATCACTTATCAGACCATAAAACGGTGATGAATTTAGTTTTGGTTCATTTTTTTGTATTAGCGTGGGCATATTTCCTGATACATCAGATATTTGTAATTCTTCTGAAAAAGGTTGAAGAATTTCTTCAGTTTCAGTGTTGATTATTGGTTGTTTCTAAAAGAAAAAATTTAAATTATAAATTCATTTATTAATTAAATATTAATACTAACATTTATATTGTTCAAAGATTTTTCATAATTTTGAACAATTGTATTGCCACTAAAAGTTTTTGCCATCAAATTTTCAAATGCAACAGTTTTTTGAATTGCAAACAGTAAAAGCTTGACATCAATCTCATTTTTTCGTTTAACCATCAGTTTAGACAGCTCATTTCTAGAAATACCAATAATTATGGTTATAAGCAACTAAGAAAGATTGCAAATAGTTAATTTTACATACTTAGTGACTTTACAAAATTCAACTGCAATTCTTTCAGATAACTCCCATTGAACTGGGAACATAGCTCTAAATTTTTCTTCGCACTGTAAAAGTTGGCGTTTAAACCAAGCATATCGTTGGTTGAGCTTGTCTAACCAGGCTACATCCTCTGCGCTATCAAATAAATGAGTATACTCAGAGAGCTGAAGATCTATAAACCATTCTAACAATTCGTCTCTAGAAAAAAATTTTTTTATATTTTATAAACATTCATAACATATAATATTTAAATGTCTTACTTGACTTTTGGCTCTAGAATTGAAACAACTAAACATGCCTCAGTCATTTGCCTGTTAGGTACAAAATTTTTTGCATTTGGTCCAGAAAATGCTTCTCGAAAATCTGCCATGATCTGTGTTGCTAAAGATTTTTGAAGTTGTTTTACCTATCAAAGAATGCAGATAAATTATATTAATTAGTTTAAAACAAAATAATTAAATAATTACTTCAGTAGATAACTGAGCAATGTGTGGTATGTCTGTGTAATTCTTGAAATGTTCCATAACATCAGTTACACCTTGTAGAGGCATCACAATTTCTCCATATTTACGTTTTGTAGTTAAACCTCTGTATAAATGTGTGGTTTTAAATTAAATTAATTAGATACAGATATGAATAATATATACAGTGAGTGTCTTAATATTTTTGCTGCCATTAATAACTTATTTTCATATTCATATTTTGGGAAATTATAGTATACTATATTAAACAGCTATAAATCTGTAACAATTTCAACTATTTTGGTTACATAAGCTTAAAACAAGAAACTCGAAAATTTAAGAAAGTCAATTCAAGTACAAATTGAACTACTGAATTGTGTAAAATATTTAAATAGGTACTCAGAAAAATGCTAAAGTATTGGCAGGAGTAGAGAAATAATATTCTATTAGATGAATAAACACAAAAGAGACCAAATGTGAGTAAAAGACAAACATACCTGAGTGACTCAATACCAGAAACAAGCATATGCAAATTATTTAGAGTTGTAATAGAAGTTGTGAGATTCTTTTTGGCATAGTCTAATTGTTTGATATCTAACGTAATTTCTTTAACTACTTCCTCGCTATGTTCAGCTTTCTGCCTGATCTCTCTAATTTGACTGAAAAGGTGTTTGATGTAACGTTGGGCTTCTTCAAGCTCAGCCTTACCATCCTATATGAAAGATTATATTAATTTGTGTTCAGATACATTTGTATGATTAGTTGTACCTTGTTAACTTCAATTTGTCCTCTAATGACTGATCGTATATCATTATCTATGGAGTCTACTTTACATTCTAGTGAATTAATAACATCATCGATATTGGTAAGCGACTGTTCTGTAGGAAACAGATTGTTGATATAATCTATTGTATCAAAATCTGGTTTATCTAGTGGATCATCACTTGGCAGTATCTATAAGTAACAATCATTTTTTTAATATTGAATGCAATATATATGATATATTATTTGAGTGTAATATTATTTTTAAGTGTACCTCATCTATTGCTTTTTGTACTTCTACTGAGTACACCAATGTCTCAGTTCTGCCTACATCAATTTTTTCATCGTTGATAGTTGACATAATTTAAACATAAATCACCTATTTATAAAAATTTAAATTTGAAAAAAAATCATTTATTTTATATTTATGTATCACCAATAGCACACGGCATAAAGCCACAGAAAAGTCAAACGACTAAGTACTAAGTAGTAAGTTTAATTCGCCAGAGCCAAATAGTCAACGATCATGCCAAAAATTGACAAATCTGTAATTTATTCTATGACAAAAATGTCATAATCATATTATTATCATTTATTATCAAATATCACTTATCATTATCGATATTGATGACCACGGATATAGATAATAATTATTATCTATATCTGCGTTAAGAGGGCGTTATGGTACCGAAATTCGGCCGTAAAAACATGGTTTCGTACTTCAAGTTTTCCTCAGCTCTCGATAGTCGTAGAAACATGATTGACTGATGAGAATACTTATGTAGTTATGTGATATGTCTTATTCAATCATTATGTGTAGTTGGCGAATCAAAATATCTACCCAATTTTTCATGTGACCTTTTTGAAAATATTGTTCAATTGGTGCGGATACCCTCCTATCACACACCCCCGATATATTAATTGTTCAATTACTATAACCATAAGAAACACTACCTATTAAATATTAATCTTCATTGATTTATTTTTTTTTTTACTCATAATACTTATTATTTATATTGATGACTTTTCTATATTTAACAATGTAATTGAATATTTTTCTTAAATATTCAAAATTGGATCTGTTTAGAACATGGTACATACAATTATTCCTATTAAATATTAATTAACAATGTATCACACTAGAAGTATATTAAGCCGTTGAGGATTTTATTATTTTTATTAAAATGTATTAAATATTTTTAACAATTAATGCACACTTTTTTCAAACTGAAATCATTGATTTCAGAACAACTACCAATTTTTTAAAATAAAAGGTGATCTTTCTAAACGGACGCAAGTAAAATCCCGGAATGTAAATATTCGGACCATAGACATATGAATAAATTAATAATATGAATTAAATTAATTAATTGATAATATTTATACGTCTAATGTCTATCAATCGGACCGTAAAAATTCGGAAAGTGGTGAAGGTGAACCGTAAAATTCCTGGATTGTAAATTCTTATAGCAATGAGCGCCATCTATATTGGTTTCACTTTCATTACAACTTTCTGATTAGGTATTCATTTCTTATCACTTTTTCTTGACTGTTAAATAATAAATAATTTCAAATATTATTTTGAATTTCAGATTTCAATTATTTCAAATGATTAAAATTGAATTAGATACTTAGATAGGTAGCTACCACCTATTGAAATCTTCAGCTTTCTTACTTCCATCAACGTATAGTATAAGTGAATACTCCATTATGTATTTTTTTCCTGTTTATTGAATTATGTAACAACATAACGTGTTCAATTATTTGCATGCATATTTGTGTACATGTTTAATAATTATGGCTACTAATATAGAATGCTTGAAATGGAATACAACAAGTTTCAAACCGTCCAGTGGTAATGATTCTTAAGTGGAAAGTCATATTGTATTATATTAACTTGATACTTTTTTTTTTAGTTTTGGACCAGACAGTAAACACTTTGGCGCTGAAACCGTCACATTGGTTAAATCTGAAGACAAAAGGCCACTCAATAAAATTATCATATTTAGGACTAACACAAAAATTGGCATCTTTAGACGATCAGAATAATTTATATGTATTTGATTGGTCCAAAGCTGATTTAAAAACCATGAAGTATTGTATATAAACAAAAATAGCAGTATTTCTTTTAAGTAGTCTTGTAATTTTCCATATACTTACTATAGGTCAAAATATGAACATAATAGTAAACTTACAAGTTTGACGAGCAATACTTTAGGTAATCAAATAGTTACTTGTTCAGATAATGGAAAAATTCAAATATGGAATCATAAAGTATTATTTGTATTTATTTACAAAGCAAGCATTTTTTTTTTAAACAAAGTATTTTTTAGTTTTCAAGTTGGAAGATTTTAACTGAATTCAGAGGTCATTATCAATGTATTCGTAATGTTCAGTATTCTACAGACAATAATTATTTAATATCTTGTTCAAATGATAAAACATTTAAAATATGGAATTGTCAGTCTAACAAGTTTGTAGCTAGTAATATGTTTCACCGTAATTGGGTGAATATTGCAAAATTTTTCAAAGAAGACAAACTTGTCATTTCCTGTTCAAGAGATTCATATGTACAAGTTTTTGATTGTTGTTCTGGAAAATGTGTTGCAAAGTTCAACTTGAGTCCGGGTAAATAAAAAATACAATTGATAAAAAAATTAAAATTAGAATATATCTATATTCTGTACATCTATTAGATTTTGCAGAAACACTTTCACTAAAAGAGGACTTCACAATAGCGGTGGGTACAAACCAAGGTTCCATACAAATTTTTGATTTGAGAGCTTTAAAAGTTGTACAAAAATATAATGAACACACAAGTCAAGTAAATTGTGTTGGATTTCAATATAAAACTCCATGTTTGGTATCTGTTTCAAGAGATAAAAAATTAAATGTAATTTACTCTATTCCTAATAAACACAAAACAAATAATAACTAGTAGTTTTTTTTATTTTGAATTTCAGGTTTACGACACTAATGAAGGGAGATTTTTGTATTCAATTGATCACTTTAATGAAATAAGATCAATGGATATTTCTTCAGACGATAAATTACTTGCAACAGCATCGTTTCATTTTGACAATGAGGTAATATACAATAGTTTACATCAAAAACAATAGTTATAGTATATTTTATTTTTCAGATCACTTTGTGGAAAACTGAGTCACTGTAATTTAAAAAAAAATGTAATACTTATATAGTACTAAGTGAATTTTAGTGTGTACATATATATTTTATTTATTTATTTAACAATAAAATACTTAAAAAGCTGTTTTATTTTTATTTTATTAAATTTAGTATACTTAATTATAAATTAGAAAAACAAAATGTAACAGGGTAAAAAATAAGAATTCATTTTGCACAAAAAGCTAACTTTGAAACCAGTTTTTTAATTTTAAGATTTTTTTTATGTATAAAAAAAATTATAACTAGTTGTGTGGGATTGAAGCTGGGAGGCTCATATTAATATTAAAAATGTTAGCCCTTCTGAAATCTTAATGAATTTTTGCCTACGCTACATTAATATCTAAATACATAAATATTGGTTATTTTTGAACATATACATTTTTTCCTTAAAAATTTCAGGCAGGAAAAAATGTAAGTAAAAACATTTTTAACTATGTAGAACACACTAATATTTTTCAACCTTGAATAATCCTAATAGGTTCCTTAACGGTTTTTACCTAAAAAGTAGACTATTTAGTATTCACCCTTCATTTTTCATCACTATTAGTTCTAAAATGTTAGAATATTTATTTAAATATTATTTTAAAATCCTTTTAGATACCATTGAAAAAGGATTATTAAATAAATATAAATTTATCAAAACTTGTATTCCACACCAAGATGTTTTGTATTTTTTTGTTTGTTAATGCTGGGAGTCAATAAGATCTAAACATTTACTCGGTATTGCTGCAACACATTTTTTCAATTCATTCATCTTTATTGTTTGAGTTAATAGTACTTAATATAATATATTGATGTTAAGTTCAAAATTAGTTATTAAGTTATGTTGTAAGAAGTGCTATAATTACTGATAAATGATTGTAATTCAAAATGTCTCAATTATACTCATACATACCTATATATCAACTGTAGCCACCTCACCCAAAAAACTCAAAGCAACTTATTTACTAAAAAAGAACAATTTAAACAATTAAAAAAAAAAATTATAGTTGATTAGTTAATGAACAGAAATCTAAATTAAATGATGTACCATATTACTTGAAGAATTAAAATACTTAAATATTGTGAAGGATATTATTCGGACATTCTAAAATTGGTCAAAACATGTTGTATTGTACAAGAGTGGGGCCTCTGAAGCCATGATGTCAATGAATCGAAGGAAATTATCTAAAATGGTTTCGTTATTTTTCAATTTAAAAAAAAAATAATAAAATAATTTTATTATGAATTTCACTTTACTAACGCCTTAAATAGCATAGCTGTTTGTGATTGAAACGCTTCATAAATCCTATTCAAACACAAACTAATGCTATACAATTTTATTTTTCATCTTTAAAAAATAAGCCATTTTATTTGTTTTATATTTTAAGGAGTTGCTGCTGCCTGCTAGAATTAAAATTTGTTAAAAACCTGTTGATATCGATTTATTATAGTTTCAAAAATAATGTACTTTTTCTATTAAGTTCTTAAGTTCAAATTATGTCAGCCTTAAATTAATGAAAAGTATATGTAAATGTTATAACATTTAGAATTCATAGTATTGAACTAACGAAACATTAAAGTGGGTGGTTAGTCTTTTTACGGAAATACCTATTCACTATGAAAACTCAATTGAATTGTTAGACTCATGGGGTTGCTGAAAGTTAACCAGTGAACGCTATTTGACAACTAGAACATGCTAGAATTTACAATAGGCATATACTAATATATGTTATTATTATATTATATACAAAAATATTTTCAAAAAAAATGTATTTTTATAATTATTAATACTTTTTACACATTATTTATATTAATTTATACTTGAAGTACAGTTTTAATTGAGAAAAAATTAACATTTAATAAATACGTTAAATAAGAAAAAGCATAAATAAAACATTAACGCTCATGTTTCTCTAACCATAAAAATAAAACTTTTATTCAAATTATATAGTGTTTATTGTAGTGATAGAAATATTGGTTACAATCTTGTAATCTCAACTAATTGCTCGAAATTGTGTGATTACACATATTGGTGATAAGTTGTTGTTGCTGTTGTCGTTGTTTATTAAGTGTAATTCATTTGGTGTTGATCATAGTTCAACGACACTCATCAGTATAGAATGCCACGGTGTACATTCAATCAGATGGTCTTTTTTCACCAAACTTTTTGGCATAATCTTCAGCATTTTTAAAAAACTTCTTACGATCTTTCAAGTATTCTTCTGCTAACTCAGCACGTAGAGGATGTTCTGGTTCTGGATCATTAACTAAGGCTATTAAGGCTTGAATAACTGAAAATGTCAAAACATTAAAAAAAATATATTTATTGCGTTTTACTAATTGACTATGAATAACAAGTTTAAAAAATCATATATACCTTGATCAGCCTTGGTAGCTGGTTTCCAATTTTCAGCACTTATGATTGGCAAACAAACCTGGCCCTTTTCATCAATGTTGGGATGATAAATTTTAGTTTTGAAATTGATTTTAGGTGGCTTAAATGGATACTCTGCAGGAAAATTTATTTCTATTCTAAATGCCCCTTTGTTGTATGGGGGATTTTCCTGAAATATATTATGATACAATTAATGTATTACATTTAACATTTTCTATTTTTTTTAAACATAGATAATAATATTTACTTTTCATATACTTACGGGTAAAATCAGTCCTTGCCAAGCTAATATGTTTGTTTCATCAACCTGAATATCGCGGAATGACTTAAGTCCAGAATCACGGATATCTGCTAGTTCCTAAAATAAAGAATCTAAATTTACTACCATATTATGATTAATTGAAGAACCTAAATATATACTTTCTTAAAAAATTAAAATTCTATAAAACGGCTTTTATTACAATTTTTAAATTAATCAACAAAAACTAAAATACTATTACTCAGATAGGTGTATAATAATTTTTACTTATAGCTGAGTGGTAGATAGTCTAATAGGAACTTATTATTATTTCATAGGTTTAGACGGTATGAACACAATCTTTATTATTTAGTATAAAATGCCTGGGATATTTTAAAAATTAGCTTTATATAGAATATTAATCATACACATTTTAAAGTACCTATGCAATAAGTTATTTAAAAAGTACAAAATATTAAATTCATTTTTTTTATGACACTAACATAAATTAATATTTATAAAATTTAAAAAGACTATAGTATACATTTACCTTGTTATTTAGGTACTAGGTAGATACAATATAATAGTATTTGTGTAACTTATTGTTTCAATATAAATTTTTTTTAATATCCCTTATGACACCTACCAAAAAAGTTAACTTGCATACTTAGTATACATATTACAATATATAATAAATGCTACAACAGATGAATAAAAGTTAAAATATATTATGTGTGGAGGTAATGTACATTTAGTATTTATTATTTATTTATAAAAAACGATTTTAATTAATTATCTCAATTGTATGTATGGAAAAAACCAATAGTTAGTGTTTAGCATAGGTAGCTCTTATTTAATTTGCTGAATTTAATTATTCAACCATTATCTAAATTATCACAAAATAGCATTTTTTTTACGATTATGTCATATCAATGATAAAACCGACGTTCAGCAGAAACAGATAAATGTTAAGATAATTTAAACAAAAGCCTAACAGAATAAATATAGAATTACACCGCGCAGTACTTAATATAATGACATGCAGTGTTTGAAAAGAACGTCGTTCATGAAGGCACGTTCACGTTCATATTTATAGTGAACAATACGCAAACGTCACTTCTTTTTTTCAAATTGAATTTGAACAATTTTTAAAACTCTCAATTTATTTATCATTTAATAAAAATATGTTTAAAATATATTGATTAATTATATTACATAATAATATTTTCTTATTATAATTTCTTTTGTAAAAAATTTAATGAACGACCCAGAGAAAGCATTCATTTTTTCAATGTATGTGAACGTGAACAAATTCATTTTTTTAGTGAACGTTCCAAACACTAATAATATGTAGTATGTATTATAATTATGTAGCGGCATGGCACGAGCAAGACTATAGTCGTACAATGATGATCGTCCCGTCATATACATTAAGTTAGGTATTTATTCGGTTATATACATATTATAAATATTACAATACGTGTAAAATGTATTGTAGCTTACTAACTTTTTGAAGTCTCCTTGTGGCGGCCATGGTCTATAGACTATGTTTTCAGACGGGAAACGAAACAACGAAACGGATTTTGTTCACTGTAAAAACTAAAAACGAAGGCCGTGTTCGCAGTTTCGCACGTATACCATATAATCACAACACGCGCATATCAATACAGTATTTTGATTGTTCGGATGTTTTAAAATAATATTAATAAACCCACGGCGGGCCCTGCATAAACAATGTCAACAACTAATGTACTATTAAATTACTTTGTAGAATATTAATATAATTTTTTTCCTAAGAATTAAATTGAGTAAAGATAATTATTAATTACCACCTTTGATAATAATCTGGTGGGCACCTAAATGTCCTGGTCTCGAACTCTCGACGACTTCACGACTCTTGATTCTAGTTTCTCCTCTTTTTTTCTCTCCCTCTTTTTGTGTTCTTTTTTTATAATCAGAAAATATACACTCATCGCCAGTGTAGCCTGATCTGACGGCACTAAATTTCTCCGTAATATTTTACGACGACCACAACCGTGAATCGAGCGGGCAACAGTCCGTCAGCCGTACGACAGCTTTTCGAATTTTTTACTCTCTTTATAATCGTTCAACTGTGAACTAAGCAGGGGCGTCATTTCACATTTTTTCATGGGATGCAAAACCAATATTGAAAATCTTAAGTAATACCAGTCACTCGTATGGTCGAGTCATCCCATGAATTTTTTTCAATACACTTTTTATGTAAATGTAGATCATTTTATAGAAATTATAGTATAAAACAAATAACAATAAAAAATAACACAATATTAGGTATATGGATCACCACAGCTAATTTTTCAATAATCAATTAGATAATATAACTGATTAAAACTGTTCATCTGATCAATTAACGCTCTAAAAAAAAACTAAATTACCTAATAGATTATGATATAAAAATGTGTATAAACCAAATAATATAATAATTAAGTAATGTATATTTAAATATAATAAAATAAATTACAATTTACAATAAAGGAAATCTTCCAGATTTTAATTTAGCAAAACTATCTACTACTTCATTAAGATCTAATGTATCAGCTTCTTCCTTTTCAGTTGCAATTACCATTAAATCACTTAACCTTTTATCTCTCATAGTTAAGCGCAAATAATTTTTCACTCTTTTCAATGTAGAAAAAAAGCGTTCATTAGAAGCAGTACTAACAGGCAATGTTAAAATAATCGTTAAAATGTTTAAGGTTTCTACAAAAGCAGATGCTAGTTTAGATAGCATTTCTGTCAGTGTTATATTATCAGGATTAATTTCTTTTTTTCTTTGAGTAGTGTTTGGATGGAAGAAAATTCAGAAGATAAATATATAGAATTAATTTTAAAATGCCTATAATGGTTAAGAAATTTTTCAAGATAAATAGAATTTGAATTTAAAAAATGATTACTGTTGGAGTTAAAAATGTCCATAACCATCAAAATATCATTATTAGTACAAGAAAATCGTTTTTCTATTTTAGCTACAAATCTGAAAAGCAAAAATCAAAAAAGCATAGTATAAGCATTGTCAAGCAGATAGAATAAGGTGTAAAAAAATCATTGTAAAATTAACATTATTACTCCTTTCAAAATCTAAAATATTATAATATGTGCATGAGTGGCGAGCAAGTGTGTCTTGTGGTATTTTGTATTATAGATATTTATTATATAAATATGGAAATTATTTTAGTAGTTCGACATGATAGAAGCTTCTGATGTATCACGTTTTTTATTCATCTTATAAAATATATAGAATATAGATATTTTATCAGGTGTTTAAGTATAAAAATTCAACGCGTGTCACGATTCAAGAACGACACGGACAGTAATAATATAAATATATAGTATATTAACTATGTTCAAAGGTTCAATACCATATTTTTTATAATATTACCACAGTACAAACCACTATTAAAAATATCTATTAATATATTTAATCGCGATACAAACAAGAAACGACAACACGACAACGGATGACTATGGAGTAATAAAATAGTGGGGGCCCCGCCGCCCGCTAGACGACACTAACGAACCCGACTATTTGAGGCCCCGCTGTAAGTTAGTAAAATAGTAACGGTTATCGACGTTTTATCGTTATCTACACGGTGTAGATATCATGTTATATTGGTGATCCACAAAATATTGTGACAAATCAAAAAAAAATTACAAAACTATTGTTATTTGTTTTATAATTTTATAAAATAATCTACACAAAAAGTGTGTTTAAAAATATTCATGGGATGCATTTGCATACCCTTGCATCCCACAAATGACGCCACTGGAACTAAGCACGTCTAATTTATACATTGTACACCAAACCAGCCATACTCAACCTGCGGTCCCTCCAACGATTCATATGTGGCCCGAACAGAACTCATAGAATTAAAAAAAAATATATAAATTTCAAAACTAATATTGTTATAAATATAATATATAACCAAACAATCAAAATTTGAACCAGAATTTTGGAATTTAATGCCAGGAAAATAAAAAACCCAACAAAAATGTGCCCACTTTTTGATGATAATGATCACATCAGCATATCTATATTCCATGTGAAACTTCATATTCAAAAATGAAATATGCAAACAATGTGTACAGAAATTACTGATTCACATCTTGACGACTGTTAAGAGTAGCATGAAGCAACTACAAACCATCTATTATTATTATATCCAAAATAGTGACAAAACTATCTCAATATCAACATTCACACTAATTTAAAATTAATATTTAATTTAATTTTTTTATAATAAATTTTTTTTAAAAAAAAAAACAAATTTTATGCAATGTACACAATATATACATTTATTTTTTTTTTAATTTCCGTTCAATTCATTTCGACTTGCGGCCCGCGTAATATTTTAAAATATTTTATGTGGCCCAAATAAAAAAAAGGTCGAGTATGGCTGTACCAAACTATTAAGTCACAAGTTTCATGAACTTCGGTGTATTTTTAGGCCCTTTTCTCGGTTTCACAAATTTACGAGGCAAATAGTAAGTACTCAACCTTAGTTAACTTAACCCAAGTATTATTTATTTATTATTTTGATATTTAATCGGTGATGACCTAATACTACAATACATGATACTTCTCACTACATTACAATTTGGAAAAAAAAATAATACTTATTAGTCTTGTATAAATATGATAAAATTTTATAAAATTTAATATTAATATCAATAACTCCTAAGTGTTGCTCTCAGTAGTCAGAAAAAAAGCCACGACAAAAACGACAAAAAAAAAAAATAAGTGTGGGGGATACAAAGGAACTAAAACATATTACTCATGCGTGTAATATAAATACAATAAACCCCCTTAAAACGGACCCCCTATATGAAGGAAATTTCTTTACAACGGAAATTAACCACCTATAACGAATCCAAGTCAAAATATTCAATTTTAAAAAGTAGAAAAAGGTTTTTATAAATAAACACAAACAGTTTAAAACGTCGGTATACTCAAATTTTTTTTTAAATAATTCAACTACGTAGTCATACGTAGATAATAGATTAGTTGATAAGTGGATTCTACTATATTTTCTAATAAAAATTAGCTCAAATTTTTCAGAAAATAAATAGATATACACAGAATTTGTGGGTAGATTTTGTTAATGTACCTCATAGATTGTAGATACATTAAGTGAACTATAGAAGCTTTTAGCTCATGACAATAGAAAAAGATCTAGAAACTAATCTGGTTTCTATATATTTCTATTATATCTCCCCCCCCCCCCCCCCCCAATCAACCATTGAGTCGAGCTTTAATTTTTGTCGAAAGCTAAAATAATAATCACTGACCAGTGACCAACCATTAAGAAACCACCAGAAAAGTTACCGAAGTAAGTAGAATGGAGTTTTTAATTAAAAAAAAAAACACATGGTAAAATACTAAAATCAATACACATAGGTACATTCATTTGGTACTATAAAATACTATTGCTATTATTATAGAATTAACGACTGATTATCATTGGTTAATCATTTGAATTAATATTTTATATAATATTATATACCTACCTATCACCTGTCGTTGATTTTCTTCAACTGCACGTCCGTTCTATTCACTATTTAATATTTCAGTAGGTACTTCAACAGCTATACGGAATATAGATTATAGTACTAATAATAAATGTATTAGAAATAATAGGAAATAAATAATAATAAAGTCTCCATGACTCCATTCGCCAATCACCAATAATAAATTAATAGGTAAAAGTACTTATACTAGTTAGACTTATTGCATGGTAAATTTGCTTAAAAAAAAATTAGTAAATTTGTCATATTACAGGTTTCTGGTGTCTGAAAATTTTGGGAAAATATATTATTAGTGTCATAAATTATTACATTTCTATTATTATTACAACATTACTGAGTACTGGTACACATATTGAAAAATATGATCAAATTAACTTCTGCGTATTTAGATCCAATTATTATACACGTACTTTTGAGTCATACCTTGTTTAAAAAAAAGTGTTCAGTCATATAAATACAATATAATATGCTATAATGCTGTAATAGTGTTGATCTGTTCGAATTGCTAGAATCCGTTCCACCTATGGACTATGACTCATCAGATGTAGTTTCTATAGTAGCCAACCTATAACATGGCTACAGATCACTAACGGAGTGGGAGGAAAATATTATAACATACTAAGGCACATAAACTCAATATAACATGAAGTTTTACATTCAGACATCTAGTGTGGAACGTTTCAGTGCACCAAAATCTTACGATTCAGGAAGTCGTTTTTTAAACCAATTACCATTGTATACCTATATTTTGTAAGTACATCTAACATAATTAACTTTTACGTAGTATACTTTATACTATTACTTAGTAAGTTTAATGTATAAATGAAACAATTTTTAATATTTACCACATTGTACCTACTAATATATAGACATAATAGTATAATACAGATCAGAGATGATAAATGTATATTATTTTATGTGTAATTTTACAAGTAACAATAATATGCTGTTAATTATTTTCAATTATATTGGGTAGGTACTAGAATTATTTTTCATTAAAATATTTTTTGATTGAAAACAGTAAAAATGCTACTTTTTAAACTGTAGTATACGCTGTACAGAAATGTTGGTCCATCCTTATTGGGTTGAATCGTATGTTTTTGTTTTAATATTAATACTACAATTACCTGCGTCTCAATAGTTGGGTCACAGTGGTCAAACTCTTTGTTTTTTTGCTGTATTGTTAATAAACAAAGCTAGTTATCTAAATTAATATTAAAATAGGTATAAAGGTTAAACAAACACTAAAAATATTACGCATTTATAAAATTATTTTCAAAATCTTAATGATTGTACCATTTAAATAATGAAACTTGAAAGAATACAAATATTAGGTAGGACGTAGTTATTTTATCATGCAGATACAAACCTATTATACATAATATATTACAGTACTTATATTATAATATAATATTATACATTTATACTAAGTAATTTTGTATGTATTTTGTTTCTGATTACTAATCTTAATATTTAATAGGTAACTAAAATGTGTTAATATTTTATAGATATTTACGTTTTACAATTATGGGGCTTTTAAAAATTGCTCTTGTATTGATGGTTAGCTGTTTATCACTATACTCTGTGAAATGTCATTCATATCATTTCGGCCAATGTCCAACTCTTGAACCAATGGCTGATTTTTCAATGGATAAGGTAAGTCATATTTGTTTTCAACAAATTACCTACTATAATATAATTAATTAAACCTTAAGAGGACGTTACACGGACATGAGTTGTCTCCGTCTTACAAGTGTGGAACATAGCAAATTTTACGCTCAGCAGATCACATTTAGCTTAGTTAATTTAAAAATTAGAGTGAATTAACCTCTTATAAAAATTAAAGCCAAGATTATTATCCAGAGCATTTCATGAACTTTTTATTATATTTTAATTTTAAAGCAAATTATAAGTATTTTAAAATTGTAAATTGTTTGTACATCCTAGAAAACTCATAACTTGCTTTAAAATTAAGATATAATGAATAGCCCATGACATGCCCCAGTTAATAATCTTACCTTTAAATAATAATATATCAATTTGAAGTATACATATAATTGGGTAATAGTAATAACAACAATAATAATAATTTTTTTAAGTTTCGGCAACAGAGGCCGAAGTAGAGGTTGTGGTACTGTAGGGTTTTGGGACTGTAGGGTTTCGGAACACGTGTGTGAATAATTATTATTATACCAGATTAAATATTACAATATAGACTATCATGTAAAATTATAGAAATATAAACAGTATTTTATAATTTATGGAGTGCAATCGAAGACTTATCTTTATTCTTTAGTGGTTTGCACTTTGAAGTACTAATACAGCGAATATTGATATTGATATGTTATTATATTAATAATTACGATTTATGAGGAATGTTGACAAAATTTAAATTATTATGATAATAAAAACAGTAATTGAATAATGTTTAAAAGGCATACAGCTAGTATAGATACTAGCTAGTTGTATCCGGTATTTTACCCGTACATAGCTATAAATAATAACTTATAAGTTATAATTAATAATTATGTAGTTCTATTATTTGTTGTAAATTTCAATTTCAAATTTATCACTGATATAATTATAAAGTCTACTTTGATACACATGTAAAACATTCATCGCTTGTTCAACGTTATTTGAAAAAATATTTTGTCAAAGTAAAATTCATGAAACTTATGCAGTAGCACTACATATTATTATTATTATTCATATCATATTCATTTTTAAATTCATATATAGGAAGGTATATTTTAATTTATGCTTATATAATAGTTATTGTCTCAACCATTGAAAAATGTTAGCGAATTTGCATATTTTTTTTTTCGATTAACTGTATTATATGCACTAACTCAGATATAGCTGCTACAAGGGTATCCACTGGAATTCGTTTAAGGTGGGGAGTTATAATTTAGTTACTTGTACAGAAATTACGTTTTGATATTAAAGTATATTTGGTGCGTACTAGCATCAATGACTATGTTTATAAATTATAGCATGGAAGATCAAGCCATGAAACTATGTCATAAATTATATAAAGTATCGAACTATAATGTTTGTATGCTCAATAGTCAATAGTAAACTAGAATTATATTATACCGAGGTCCAAGACACCGAGTCAACAATTCAAATAATTTGACGCTTGGTGAATGGAGACTGATGTATTTGTATTATATAATTTATAACTATCTTTATTAAATTAATAAAATTAGATTATCATTGTTGTACACCATTTACAAGTATGATTGCGTATTAAGTATTAACGTATGTGTAATAACAATACAATGGGTATTTGAAAACGTGTCAAAAAGCAATTTAGGTATCTAAAATTTTAAGAATACCTACAACATAATATTAGTTAATATTAGTGTATATACTTTATGTCTTTATCAAACGAAAATTTTGTTTTTGTTTAAAGCATTATATTTGCATACTTAAATTATTAGTTGTTTAACTTATCATTTATCAATTTAAATTATTCATATAGGTGATTGTTGTATATATATTTTTCAGTGGTGGCTTGAGTCTTCATAACTCAAGGAGCAAGTTTATAAACAACCCACCCACCCCAACAACTACATTTACTAGGACCAATATAATATTTTTAGGTTCTCCTTTAGTTAAATTTTTCATTGACTTTTACAATTTATGATATAGATACATTTATTTTTTACTTGAATGCTAATTCTTCTGTTATGATTTATGAATTATAAATAAACCTGTTATACTTAAAACATTTTGTTTTCCGAATTTCGGGCCAGTCGCTCCTAGTATTCTTATAACAAGTCACCCCTGGTTATATTGCATTATAATAAGTTTATTAATCATCTAAAAACTATATTTTAGTACTTAGGTACACTAATTTATTACACTGAGTAGTTATAGAAGAACCATACAAATAAATCTACAATTTATTAAATCGTTGTTCTCTCACTGTTTATCACAATTTGTTTTTGAGCAAGTATATTTTCGTAACTATTAAATATCAATATCTTCCACATTTTCTGGAATGCTGAATGGTTTAAAATAAATATTAGTTCCAATGTACTTATTTGCTTTTAATTATTACTTAAAAAGTAATATAAATGTTCATAAACGTAATAAGACACTGTTAACAGGGTAGTTATTACCACTCATGGATTAAATAAGTAGATATTCAATTGAAGTTTCTGTACAAACAACTAATTGAGAAGGGCTAATATAAATAGAAGGTTGGAGTATTTTTTTAATCACTGTTTCCCAAATTTATTACCTAACCACTCTAACTATCAATCGCAGTAACTATTATTAAGATTATAATAATTAATAAATATCAGGGTTATATTATGTTTATTATTTATTTTTCCTTTTGCCCATTGATTGGGTCCAAAGTGTTTTATGAATTATAATTATTATAAATAGATACAATATATACATTTTAGTTATTATTTTATTTTATTTTTTCAGCTTTTAGGAAAGTGGTATGCTATACAAAAAACATCAACGTCAAGTCGGTGTCTCGAATATAACTTTGAAAAAACAGGCGAGCCCAATGCATATAAACTAGATCAAATGAGCGAAAATTCTATAATTAATGTGGCAAAATCCAATAACTATCACTATGTTGGAAATTTAAAAGCAGATCCTAGCTTACCTTCAAGAATGATAGCTAATTTTCCATTAAGTAAGTAACTGTTTTAAATGTATTTTAGAAAATATTGTATAATATTTCTGTCGAAAAAAAAATAAAAACTAAGTCTTTTTTCAAAGAGATATTGTTAAAATATAATTTTCAAATAATTCAAATTTATTGATTTTACACAATCTAATTAAAGACTTAACTTTATATAGTACTATATAATTGATAGTTGATACACAATATTTTAAAACAAAATAGTGGTTTGAATTAAATCAAAATATCTAAAACAACTCATACATATTTTACTCTCGAATTAACCCCATCAGGTCCTAATGTTACCCTCTACTCCATCATAACCCTAATTTCTCCAACAGTTAAATAACTTGGTATAGTTTTAGACCAACTTGGGCTATATACATTAAATCTATATGGATTTCTTTTGAAATACCTACTGTCTCCGCATGTCACAAACTCTACTTAATTATTAAGTATTACTGTATTGGTAACCCAGCCTAACTATGACTATCAAACAACTATTGTAATAATATTACAATTTTATCAAATTTTCCTACTTTTTTTCGACTTTTTCGAAAGTAGGTAATTACTGAGAAATTTCTATTAATTACTACTACTATTACTAACTTACCTATTAATTCAAAACTTATCCTCTTTTTCAACATCTGGTAATTGGTGTGATATTTTACATTGTATATTTTATTATAGTCATATCTTAAATCGTATTATAAATGCACAACTGATAAATTGAATTATTCATTATATAGGTATCGATTGTTATTATAATACTGTCTGACTAACAACGTAATTGAACATAACAAGTGGGAATTATGCATTTATATTACATTTTACAAATGTTACGTTTTTAGTAATTTTTTTTCAATTTTAATTTTCTTTGGAGCTGGTTAGTTAATTATCGCTCGCCGTACTTGGTCACCACTGTTCTAAAATATTAATTTATAAAAATATCTACAAAAAATAGATCACTTTAATTATTTTTTTTACCTGTCTAGTGCTTTTTATCCACTTATCATATATCATATATTATACCTATAGATATATGCTTATTGTTTTAATTTTATCTACCTATAGATTGTATAATATTACTTCTAAACAAAAGATTTATATTAATTTAGTGTAAAAACATAAAATATTAAGTAACTCATTACTTGAATTACCTGTTATATCATATAAGCATAATATAAATATTGTATATTAAATAAATATTAGAAATCACAATCAATGGTTTTAAATCATACGAAAAATTTCAAAAATATCTCAATTTTTGTTTCAATCTACAAAAAATGATTGAAAACCCTTTTCAAGTCGGGACATCATAATAAATATATACATTTTTACTTATATAGGTGTTGCAGGAAAAGCGTCGTTTGTTGTTTTTTCAACGGACTACGTAAATTACGCCGGAATATTTTCTTGTCAAAAAATACCTCTCGGTAATAGACATTCAGTGACGATTTTATCTAGATCGAAAACATTGGATAAACAATACGTAGATAAGGTTAGTTAATTGTTCACTGAAATAATCTATCAATAATGTCTAAATTAAGAAAATATAAGGTGAAGATTTTTAAGTTTCTGGCAATGGCATACAGGTGCTTTTTACTCATTTAAAACCTACTTGTCTCTATTTAAATCAATTACAATGATTCCTTAAAAAAGTCTGCTTTCCTTAGAAATACCAGAAAAACATTTTTCAAATTTGATCGATAAAAATGAGTACATTCTGACCTCTAAGCAGTCTAAGCTTTAACTCCTTAACTGTATAGGAACTGACTACTATATAAATGAAAGTGTAATAACGACAAAACCTTATTTCAGATGCGTAACCGCATTGCTTCGAGCAACGTAAATCCATTTGACTTAACCATCGTTGATCAGAACAACTGTTCACATCTCAACACATCGATGCGCGTGGAAATCAATGACCAAACATTCAGTTCACACAACATTGGTCAGGCGGTGCGCAAAGTAGGATCGAAAATTGGTGACGGTGTCGAATACGTGATCGAAGGCGGTAAAAAAATATACAAATCGGCGAGTAGTTCGGAAACCAAGGATGGTCCCAACAGTGAATTCGAGTTGATGCCATAGATTAATATCATAATAAATACTTGCATAACAATATATAGTTACTATGTAAAATTATTTTTGTTGTAGTTAACATTCAGGAATATCTATTTGTATTTTATACCTATATATAGGTACGGCTTTACCTAAATCACAACAAATTTCCTACGACTGATTATCAAAAAGATTTTAATTTCGTTAATTAATAATTTTTTTATTTTACTTTAAAAAAGCAGTTTGTATATTAGTTTTAACTTATAGGTATGATTTTAATTACTTGATTATTACTTTTATATTAATATACATCGATATTAAATATTATACAAAATTTGAGAAGTATATTTTGTTATTTATTTTAACAGTTTATTTTTTATTTTTTATTTCGAAATTGTATTCTTTGTTTGCATCGTTTTTTTTTATACATTTTAGTTAAATTTAATGTAAAATTACCTATTACAAAAATTATAGAGGATAATATGTTTGAAGGTATGACATATCGGTTTTATATTTTATTATTATTTGACTTTGTATTCGATTTTCAAAATAAAAATAAAATTTGTAAATTTAAATGATTATGTTTAAATTGTTTTGAGACTGTACCTGGAAAAACCGATATGCCATTTCCTCAAAAATATTATTCTCTATCGATTTTACACTAAAGTTATTCAAAAACTAGACATAATAATTCTGCGAAAATGTGTTTTGTCGATGTTGCAAGTGAGCCAGAGAGAGAGAAAACAAACACTGTTTGTTCTGACATCCTCTTAAGCAGACTTCGCTTATGCACTTTAAACTGTGGTTTATATTTTATATACAAGTAAGAGGTTTGTACATAGTAAAATAGTCATATCATGGTATTCATATAAATAAAAAAAATGTTTATTTGCAGATAAACAAGAAATTTATTAATTTCTTATAAAGTTAATATTAGGTATACTATAGGAACACTTTAAAACGACAATTTTAAGTCTATCATTAACATTCATTTTAAATAATCATAACCTTAATACACGTTTCAATACCTATAATAATATTTCACTGTTTTTCTGTCCACTTATCTGGTCATCTTATCGAAAAAATTATGCTATCCACCTGTTTTGCATCGGGTGGTAACTTTAATTTTATCACCTAGATCCCCGACCAGCTATTCGATCCCCATCGTTACCTAAATATATTTATTGCATTTTAATCTCAGATATATCTGTGATATTAATCAACCTATTATTTTACAATGAATTTATACCTTCCTACACTCATTATTTCGAAAAGTTAAAACTATTTTGAAAGTGTTCTTTGCATATCATTATTATCATTTCAGAACGAAATTTCTGAAAATAATATATTTTTTTTACTATTATTTTATTGTTATCGTATTTAATTTTTTAACTTTTTTAATGACACCATACATTTGTAATTTTATTTTATTAAGCAGAATATTATTCGGAGTATTTCAATTTATAAAAATCAAATTTCGGACAAATAGTTCATTAGTTATAAGTACTTATAACTAACTAAGTAGGTATTTAAAGTTTGGATTATCATAGTAGTGCGCAAAACATTTTGCGTGTATCACTCTACTCAGTTCTTGAAACTTTAAATACTTATAAAACTATATAAGTAATAAATCATAACTAATGAACTAATCGTACAAAATTTGATTTTTACTAATTGAAATACTCCAAACAATATTTTGCTTCAGAATATGAAATTAAAAAAAATGTGTGATGTCATTCAAAAAAATTAGACTTAAAAATTATATAGTTAAAAATAGTAAAAATATATTTTCCCAGAAATGATTTGTAGTTGGTACTTTGAAGAGATAAAAATAGAAAATTTTCATAAGTATTCGAAGGTATCGAGGAAAAACATTAAGATATAAACTGGAATTTTTACTCAAAACAACTTTTTGACCAACATTTTTTTTTTATAGTTTTTTTTCCATAAATATCGATTAACTTTTTTTCACCGGGTCAAAAAACTTGGCAATACAATAAAAGGTTTCTAATGAGTTGTTATTTATGAAATTAAGAAAAAAGTTCATCGTAAATTCACAATCATTTTCTATGAGCAATGAACTTTTGAAGTTATTTTCACAAAATTTCAACTTAGGGTTCTACGCCAAGCCAAAAATACATTCCTCAGACTTTTTTTTCTCCAACACTTTAGTTCCAGAGTTCACGATACTTTTTACCTCTCAATAAACAAATACCTATCGTCCAGTCCGTTCAGACAAACACGATTAAACGTAACTGAGTATACTCAGCGCATTTTAAGATCTTGACCAGTCGCGCATCCTAAACAACTTCCTCCACCGCACCGCTCACCATAGTGGCAGTTACCGGTTTTGTATACGGAACGCTTCGTGTGTCAACAGAGAAGTGCACGTGGTTATAAAGAAATAAAACTCACTCCACCACACTGTATAGTCGATTTTATGATGGCGCGGCGTTGCACGGGCAAACCACTACAGCACAGTGTATGCGGTTCGCATTTGGAACGGCGCTGTATAACTGTGAACAGATGTTTGGGGAACCAATGAAAAATCGGCTGCGCGTAGCCGACGCTAAACGGTCGGCAGCCCGGTCATGATCTTAACGTGCGCCGAGTATTGAGTATACACCTATCTATGAAATAATATATTAACCCTTCGTTTTGATAACATACAGGTAATAAAAAATAGAGGCGCCAGACCGACGCGACAAATGCGAAATTAATTTAAATAGTCTAGACTCGTTTTATCGCGGAACTAAAATGTGACAACTGACAACGTATACATTTCAGTATAAACTTCTAATATATATTTCAACTGTAGTATATAGTCTATGCCCTATGGCCTATGGTATAATTATGTTTATCTTCTTGGTATTATTTTCATTTTCTGTTAAAACATCATTACATACTAAGTCAACAAGAAAAAACCCATTATTAATATTGTGTGTTTAAAAACATTTTTTCTATTGAAATTTCGGAGAGAAATCATGGCCTTTGTATGTAACATAACTCACAACTTCACAAGACTCAAATGCATGATGTAAGTATGTAATATTACATACTTGAATACTTCAAGTCCGAAGAAGTAAAGATAGGTGTGTTTAAGACGAAGTAGTGGATACAATAATAAGAGAGAGGCTGAATAAAAATGGATTTAAATTACTCTGTAAACATTTAAAATTTAGATAGAGTGACACAGGTATAATTGGATTAACTCTAAGGGATATACACCGAAGTAGGTTAGATTGATAACAATTAGAACCTTAGGTTATAGAATGTTAGAAGACATAAGCGTAATCTGGGGGTAAATTCTTAGGGAGGGGGGTAGTCTGTGGTAAAACTAAAAATCTATAATGTATAGGTATAAAAACGAGGGGCTTTACCTCATTCCAATAAATCAATTAGTAGATATTATAGTTAAAAGTTAATTTTTTTTTAACAGACAAGATTGAAATATTAAAACAAAAAGTATAAAAATACAAAGATCAAACACTTAGAGGTACAAACAGCATATACATAAAACAGTAATAGATTTAATTTTGACTTATGAGTTATGACCAGGGGCAAAAATACACTATTGCTCCATCAGTTAAATATCTGAGGGGGCAGTTGTCCCAACAGTTTGAAAATGTCTATAAATAACACAAAAACAGTTATATATTTTGAAAATAACATCATGTATGCAAAATATTCATAAAAATGTCATATAATTGGCAAGTAATTATTATGGATATTCGTTTTTGAATTAATAAAATAACAAAAACGATTGTTGAAAACTGACTCTACGTAAACATCACCATATGTTTCCTAATATTTTGCTCTTTTTACCCTCCACCCAGCCTATATCGAAATGACGAGGAACACTTGACACTTACTGTACAACAAGACAGTTACTAAAGGGTATTTATTTGCTTTTAAAATTATTTCGTTGGTTTACTGAATTCGACTAGTAGATTTATTGGGTGAATCCAATACATTTTTTGAGCATAACTAACCACAGTTAATGTTCTGCAGATAATAACTTTTGAACTTAAAAAAAAAAAATAGGTTATTAGTATAAGGTAAAGTGATAGACATACCCAATTATTTCTACACAGATCTACTATTAAAACTACAGCTATATATAATATATAGACATATAGTAGATATATTGTAGGGCCCAACGATTTCCTATGTCGAGTGTCGACTACTGTTTTCTAATTAATATTTCCGAAAATTATTACTGTATCAATTAGCTAAATATTCATTACAAGTACGTATATAAGAATTTATATTTTTGTTTTCATGAATTCAGAGTAAAAAATAAACATAACAGTTTACACACTATCAGAGACGGTCAATGTTAGTATACAAAAATAATATGTAATATATTCAGTACTGTATATAATATGTAAATATTTCTAAGGTTAGCAGTTACGTTATATCAGTGGTAACTTTAACTTTATAAAGGCAGGAAGTAGATGGAGGATAAATAAAGTAAGCCATTAGCCACATTTTATTTTTAAATAAACCGTATTACCTATATATAAGAATTTTTCAATTTATGAATCAGTTATTTGACTAAGCTTGACTCATTGAAACGGAATTATTTAAAATGTACTTATAATATCTAATGCAAGATCCAATCTACAACATATTTCTAATTTAATTGTTAACGATATGTCGATGTCTATCTATTATCAGCAATATAACAGTTATATAGGTACCTATTTATAATATGACTTTATGCATTAATATTCACAAAAATCTTGAGTAGGTATGCTAATATATGCAAAATAAAATGTTTGTATTTAGAATGGCTGTGACTTGTGATTTGAATTAGATTTCACTAATAACCATGATTTCTGATTAAAATGTATCAACAAGCAAGATCGTTCAATTCGCAGCCCTGGACTAATCTATTAATTTTATAACATAACATACAATATTGAAGACCTTAATATATAATATTCATCTTTTATGTTTGTTTTAGTTGACTTCCGGTGTGCACAACTACTGTGAAATGTCAATCAATTCAGAGTTACATTCACATTATGTATCAAGCCATTATTCTAGATCTCCAAAAAACATATTTTATTGATCATAGTAGGTACCTAGGTAC